ACTAAATAGACTCTCAAAGGGGAAAAAACAAGCCAAAGCATTACATCGGTTTGCTGTTCTGGTAATCGTTTCTTCTGAAGTGGTGAAATGGCCCAAAACGACTCACGATTACGAAACCTCAGGAGCTGCCTTTGAGTTTGTTTTATCTGACCAGTTAAAAATCAGATTAAATCGAAATGTCGATTGTTTGCGTTTTTATATTAAAGCGTCGGAGGGTATTTGCATCATGAAGAAATCACTTTTAACAAAGTCGAGCATAGAGTCCACGCACATTATCTTAACAAAGGTTAAAAGCAAATTTAACCTGATTCCATTAAACTTGTGCATTTAGAGGTTTTGCTTCTCTTTCCTGTTTTCCTGCAGTGAGGAAGAAGGCCAGGAGCCTCTGGCTGTGGTTGGCTCCCCCTACTGGATGGCTCCGGAGGTGCTCAGAGGAGAGGTGTATAATGAGAAGGTACTGACAGCTCACTTTCTTCACTTCACTTCAGCTGCATGTTGTTTCAGAAGTCCAAGGTCCACAGTGGGCGTGATGAGAGCTGCTCAAATAAACAGAGGAAACAGGCAGTGATGTACAGCAATCAATATTTAATAAAGTGGTTATGTGGTTATGTAATTGGTGCACTCGTTGGCCTGGGTTATGATTGTTTTCTGTGTAGCGTAGTGGGAATCCTGATTGGCTGTAAAATGAGCGTTCACTGTGTTTTGGACTCAGAAGCTCCAGTTTGGTATAAACTACATGCAGAATATGGTGCGTATGTACAAAAATAATAAATTGGCTATAAACTACATACTGTTGAAAGCTGAGAGAAATTACAGCAGACTTGTTTTGTCAAGCAAGCTTAAACAATGAAAAAGTGACAGACTTTTATCTTGCTGTTTATCCGATCTGAATTTAAAGTACACAGATAATATTAGAAGCCATACGTAGTCTGCATGCGTGTCTTTCCACTTATTTGGTCTTATCTTCACCTGCTGTGTTATCTCTGGCTGATAGACTGTTCGTCCTCTCTCTGCAGGTGGACGTGTTTGCATACGGTATCATCTTGTGTGAGATCATTGCGAGGATACAGGCTGATCCCGACATCCTGCCACGCACTGAGGTACTGATGACTATGTTTTCATCGCCTATCCTGTTTCCTGACACGCTCGTCATCTCACTCACGCCTCAGTCACAATCTGGCCTCTTTATTAAGGAAGTGTGGGGAACGTTTCTAACAAAGCCATTATTGATTTAATGTTTGTCTCCGCTCGAGGACAGACCCTCAAGCCTGTCGCCATCTGAAGTGCTCCTCCAGAGCGCGATAGTTGTGCAAGCAGCACTGTTAAAATGGCTCCTAAGATTGAGCAACAGGCGAGAGAGATAATTAAAAATATTTGAAATGATAGCTGCTGTAGATCATTTTAAAATCCTCTGAATGTCATTGCGGGCAAACAGAAAGCTGACTGACTTATTGCTTGTAAATCGAACGCTTAAAGGGCTCAAAAGAAGCGACGTGCAGCGCCGCGCTACCTGTTCTTTAACTCTCGCCTCAGGGACAAAGTCACCAAACCTCTCATTTTATACCTATTTATTTGTGGTTCTTTATTTTATTTTATTTTTTTTAACTGATTTTAAGTTGTGTTGTCAAACTGGAACATCAGTAAAACTATTCGGAACAGTCAGTGTAGATGGTAAAAACCAAAAGAAAGGAGTATGTGAAAAACATCTAAAGATTTTTGCCTCTTCTTTTTTTTTTCTTTTTTTTTTTCTTCTTCTGTTTTTGCTTTGATTTTGTAGTTTTACACCAGCCTTTATTAACAGCATGATAACAGCATTTAGCCTTAATATTAAATCATAGTACTGTGTGATGCAGACAGGGGGTTTCCCATTTGGTCCACTGGATGGTTTTGTGGAAGATCAAACTACTCCAGATTTTGGGAAATCTTTAAGGAAGTGAGATAAAGGGTCTCGTTTACTCAGACTACTCAGCTTCTCCAAAAAGCTGTTGGCTCTGGCCAATATTCCAGTTCATTAAATGGGCTTTCTGGTGGAACCTGCTTGATATCAGAGTGGGCTGCATGTGGCCTATGAGCTAAAATGAGCTTTGACATGCCACAGACTGTATTAATCTACTTTAAGACCTTTTGAAGCTATTACAAGAGCACTGCTCCCCCTTGTGGCCATTTAGCAGTACAGCAGTTGAAGATTCTGGTTGCAGTCGCTTGTCTCTGTGATAGAAAGAAGATGGAGTAAGGAGACTCTGTTTAAACAAAGTGCTCACATGTACTGAAACAGAACTTATTCGGTTTTGTGTTCTTTCAGGATTTTGGTCTGGATGTGGAGGCCTTTCGACATATGGTGGCAGACTGCCCATCTCACTTCCTGAATTTGGCTATCGCCTGCTGTAATGTAAGAAATACATTTTGTCTCATGTCATGTGCTGTTAGCTCACTGCTGCTCGCTTTGTCATCTTGACTTGTGCATGATGTAACCTCAAGTGCAGTGCACTGACCAAAGGTTTGAGCTTCAGTACGAGAGATCAAATTGTTTTGATGTTTGAAGGAAGAGTGTCCATTTTCATTTAGTTACAGTTGCCAAGAGCTTGTACACTTGATCCTGTCATCTTTAGATCGAACAGTAGTTATTGACTCTTGTAACTTGAGCTTAAATGCCAAAAATCCAGAGGAAATGTTTCAGATGCCTCCACATTTTAGTTTGTTTTTATTTTATATTTTTTATATTTATAATTGCTGCCTGTTTTATGACCTGTTTTAATTTTCCATCCTTTTCCTCTAATTTGACAGATGAACGCAAAGCTCCGTCCATCTTTCTCCCAAATCGTAGCAGAGCTGGAGAAGAAACAAGCTGAGAGAAAACAGAAGGTCGAACCAGCTGTCAAAGGTGAGCCATTCTGTAGATGCCTCACTGAAGAGAACTCTGTCTCACTTCTGTAAACTAACACGATTGTTCTGCTTTCAGAAGCAACTTCTCCGCCTGTCAGCCCTGTGCGAAGGCGATCCCTGGGCCTGCTGTTAGACCAGCGTCTCTCCCGCAGCAAATCCGACATGCTCCATCCTTCAGAGACGCCGCCTACTGCTACCTTGGCTCCTCCTGCTCGGTTTAACCCCTTCTCCCAAAGGGAGGATCTCAAAGGCGGGAAGATAAAGCTGTTTGACACGCCCAGCAAGTCGGTCATCTCCCTGACCTTCACGCTGCCTCCTCCACCAGACTGCGATGACACCACTGCATCTGATGCAGATGCTGTCGACATGCCCAGGAGGCACAGGCGCTGCCACTCGCTGCCTTGCACACCTCCTCCACACCTCACGTCGGCACCGAACACCGTTCTCTCTGAGGAGTCTCCGTCTGAGACGGAAGTGAACGACACAACTGAAGAGGACTGTCTTCTAGAAGAGAAGGATGCTTACAGGGCGAGCAATTCAGGTCTCCCTCTGTCTCTCGAGGTGCTGTCAGTAAACATGTTTGACCATGAGGAGGAGGCGAAGCTGCAGCAGCAGCAGCAGGAGGAGGAAGGGAGGGAGGAGGAGCCAATGGACTGCACTAGTTCCCCAGACATGCAAGACAGCACTTCGTCTCCTTACTCAAAACTTTCCTCTCCTCCTTCCCATTTCTCATCTCCCTTACAACCATCCAGTCCTCCTTTCTCAAACGGCTGGGGGTCGGCCATCTCTAACGGGCCTCCGTGCCTGCCACCGCTCTCCAATTTGGTCAACAATAATGTGGTTGTGAGTCGACCACTGGGCTGGAGCACCGCCACAAACAGCACTCCCACAACCAACAACAACGGCTACCACTCCCCAACAGGAGACCCCGCGGGCTCTTCTCCCTTTGGCTCTGGCAGTGGACACTCTCTGGACCAGGAGGAGGTCATCTCCTCATGTCCTGGCTGCTGCCTGGCTGGCCTCCGGTTCCCCTCAGTGTGTCTGAGAGCTCCTCCACGGCGTAACCCTTACAAGAACTTGAACGGAGACCACGCGGCCTCTCACGGGCTGCTTTGTTCAGGACCCAAGGGCCTTCCGCCCTCCCCCACACCCACAACCACAACCACCAGCCTGGAGCCGGGACTCGCCTTGCCTGGGGTGCAAACATAAACCCTGATTCTTCAACACCAAATGCACATAGAGCAGACGTGCAAACTGCACCAAAAGGTCACATTCTGGGGAATTAAGCAGGTCCTCTTTAAGATTTGCACAGATTTTAACGCAGCAATACTCTGCTTATTTTCCAGACACACTTTTTTGGTGCACAGGTGACTCTTAAGTGTTTGGGTCGCTTTACAGAGAGACTCCAAAACCGGCTGATTTTCTCCAACAAAGCCGTGGGACGTAAAACTTTTCAGGCGACGCCCTCTGCTGGACTGAGGGTGGCACAGCCTGTGACGTCAGCCGTGCCTGTATAGATCTGATCGGCAGCGTCCAGAACTGATCAGCATGTAAACACTCCAGTCTGGGATCCACATCAGTTGGATGTTGAATATTTGCAGATGTATAGATTGATATGTCAGAGGATCCTGGAATGAGGAATGTTCAGCTTAGTATTATCGTTGTTGCAATGATGTTCGGTGCTGAATGAACAGGCAGTTTTGCTTTGTCTTTAATTATCAGGTGTATGATGCTCTGCTGAGGTGTGTGTGTGAATTGAATGCAGGTGTGTGTGATGGATTCAGAGTGTGTGTGATGTACACCATTCTTAAGACTATTTTTGTTGCTGTATGATCTCTGTTGGTCCTTCTGATTGCCTGGTTAAGCACTTCAGCTGTATTATTGTTAATAAGGAAACTGTTTATCATTATATTTGGGAATGAAGGTCTTTGACCTGCTTAAGAGATGTACAGATTCTTATTATTTAAACATGGCATTGAATAAAAAGACAGAATGCACTCATGTCTTTGATCTGCTGTGTCTACTTTGTTTTGGCTGCTTTAGATTCCTGGGGTGTTTCTTATAATCTTTCATCTCTATTTCAGGGTAAATTGTCAACAGTTATGACCAAAATCTACAACCTCCATCTGCTTCAAATGTATTTATTTACATTGAAGCAATCCTAAACAGTCGTGAAACCCATTATCTATTCTGATGAGCAAAGACAAACCTTTGTGTATTTTCAAAAATTCAGCCCTCCTTTTATTCTCCACATTATGGAAGCTTGTTTTGAGGGTGGGGGGGTTTCAATATTTTGGGGGTTTTGAGTTTGCCCCCCCCAAAAGTGGACTACAAACTGAAACCAGAAAGCTTCTGGTCTCGAAGCTTTATTGCAAAGACATTCTGCAAATTCATAAGCACATATTTTTGTAGTGATTAACCCTGTGGAGCCTCAATCCTCATGGATTAGTACTACTGGAAGGATCTTCCTGTTAAAGGGAGGTTCTTCCTTCCCACGGTCACAAAGTGCTTGCTTTGTAGGGGTGTTGTCTAATTGTTGGGTTTTTCTCTCCAACATTGTAGGGTGTGTATGAAGTGCACTGCAGCACCTGTTGTTTTTAATGAAGTAATAAACTGAATGAAAATGTGCAGTTTGGTTGACGTTGATCACAAAGAGGAAATCATACATTTAAATAAACATTTAGGTTATCCTTGATGTTGCAGTATAAACGCTGCAAACTGGAAAGTTTTGCCGCGTGTTGTGGCAGTTTGGCAAAGCACCTTTAATAACGGTAGAGAGGAAATTATTTATTTATTTATTTTTAATTAGTTTTTTTTTTTTTTTTTTTTTTTTGTGACCTAAAGGTGTTTGTGGTTTGGTAGCCAAGTATAAAATTGGCAACTGAAATGGGGTTAATGAGTACAGGAGCACCAAGCGATCAGTAGAATGAACACTTCTTTCTTTACCTAATTTCCTCTGGGATTAATAAAGTATTCTGAATCTCATTACCATCCCAGTCTTGATTTTTATGGCCCTCCTCTTTAAGGAGATTAAAGCCTTTCCTCTCCCTTACAAAATCACCAGCCTTCAATTAAATCCTTCTCTCTCTCCACCCCTTCCACCGTCCTGCTGTCCTCAGGCCCTCATTCTTGCCTGCAGCTTACTCCGTCTCAGTGCTTCTTTACAGGTGCATTTGTCTTGCTTTAAAGGGAGTCAGTCACCTCCAGGACTTTACACGCTCTATAAGCCCTTTCCTGATCCAGAGGTCACCAGGTTGTCATGGAAACACAAAGTATAACCTGGTTGATGGTGCTGCTGGGGTTGTACATCCTGTTCATCACAGGTAGGAACTGAAGTCAGCGTTGCTGTTAAAGCCCCCTGTTCAAACTGTGCTAAAAAACAGTTTGCATCAGGTCTTCTTCTCCCTCTGTGTGCGCTCGTGCTTTAAAGTGTTAACAAAATTGGCACAATCGGACTCTGCTGACCAATGAAAACCTCTGTGTGTGTGTGTTATGTGTGTCTATTTTTGGTGTACGGGTTTCGTGCGAACTTCCCAGGGTCGAGCGAGTTAGTCTGTTACACTGCAGTGGAATCACTGGACTTAGGTTGCCTCCTGCAGTGGGATTGTCCCCATGCCAGTCCTAATACCACCTACACTGTGCAGACAAAGACGCAGGGGTAAGTCTGTCTGAGTGTGTGTGTATGTCAGAGAGGGAGACATATTCCTGTAACCTCACACACTGATTTTACTCCCACCAGTGCACAGACACTTTGCAGTTTATTGTGTCACGTTTAATTTTTTTTTTGAGCTCACTTTTATCTCAGCACACTTTATAGCCTTATTTCTGCTGGTGTCTACAGCATTAGGTACGTTAAATTAGATGATCATGATTTTACTGTCTTCAGACACTTTTGGATTTGGCATTGGATCAGCTGTTAATATATAACTGCACAGTTACATTGTGCATACTGATTACAATAAGAATACTGAATAATGTGTATAACAAGAAATACAAATAATTTAGATTCTTGTGGAAAGGCAAACAAGTGTGCATCTATAATACAGAGAAGTTCGTTAGTACCAAAAAATGAGGCCTTCAAAATGATCACACAGTTACAACAAAACCGAACATTATGAGCTTCACACATGTAAAATTCAGAATACAGAACTGTTGTGAGGTATTATTGTCAACTGGTGTCTCTAATAAAATCCTAAGTAAATGTCCACTGGACGTAATGAAAATAACTCATGAATTTCAAGATGAAAAGAGGATTGAAATGCAACAAATGCCCAATGTATCTATTTACCGGCCTCATGCTAACATCTAAGGTACTGTGAAACTTCTTGAGCCAGCCCTCATTTCTTCAGGTTTTGCTAGGAGAATGGGAAATGATAAATTATTGAAACATGAGCGAACATGCATGAAAATGGAGAATATGAGGCAAAAATAGAGACAATTCTAAGAGTCAGTATTTGGTATGACCACCTGGGATCACTGTGGTGCTGAAAAATGAAGCTGCTGCCAGTGTGAGATGATATTACATTGTGGATCAAAATGTTCTTTTCTGTATTCATAATTTCATCAATGTTGACAAAATTTCCAGCAGCACTTACTAAAATAGAGATACAGAAACCATGAAAGAGCCTCCACTGTGTTTTATACTATGTGTTTTGTGACAGGCTGCTAGTATCCCCTAAAGATAAATGTTTAAATTGGCTGTTTGCTAAGTTCTCTGTTAAGTGTAGACACAACACTTGGTTGTAGACAAAACCCCCGAGTACAAGGACTGGACTGAAAATGGATGAAAAAGCATCCAAGATCCTAAGAAAAAACTTAAAGAGACCTACAGGAAGCTTGCTGTTCAAGAGCACTTTAAAAATGACAGGATAGTCTGATTCAAAGAAAAAAGGGTTGGCTTAAGACATTCCAAAGTCTGCTTTGCAGCTAGCTCTGACATTACATGTTTAAATGGTATGCATATATGGTAAATTATATCATATGTAACTTTAAAGCTAATTCTAAATGCAATACTTACTTGTTCTTTAATTTTGGTGTTACTATTGCAGGGACCCGTGGCAGGATGTGCCATGGTGCATCTGGATCTCGTCCCGAAGCTGTGACATCTCTCAGGTCTTCTCAAACTTTGAGCTCTACAACATGATTCGCCTTGGTGTTCACCTCAGTCCCAGCTCCACTGTGTGGCTCAAACCACGCAAGTTTGACTACAGTGACTTCAGTAAGTAACAGTCCGTAATGTTTCTGTAATGAAGCTAAGTGCAAATGTGCCACAGACTGAGGAGACTCTGCAGGTTTATTTTTCAAATATCATGGGTGGTTTGAATTTGAAGCCTCTGTCTCTCCTCTGCAGACTTCAGTCCTCCTTCTGTTTCCGTCTCTTTGAAAGACGACCAGATGGTGGTGCAGGTGCACTTCCCCTGTGCTGCCAACAGGAGGTGCTCTCTGGAGAGGTGCTGTCCCATCTCTAAGTTGATTGATCCCTGGACCACAGTGACTGTGTATACTGAGCCGAGTGGTGCAGAATACCAGGTGTGGCTATGCTTTGTCTCCAGTTCTACTGATATTTAAGAACAAGGAAGTATTGTGTTCAAAAGGAACCTTAAAGCTAAATACACTTTAAATATGTAGTGTTAGCTTTAGGTTTTTCTTTGGCTGCTTTGTCACTGATTTTCAGCTCAGTTCTTGTACCTGACCATTTTCAAGGGAATGTTTGTTTGTTAAGCTACTTCAGATTGACCTATGAATCATTCAAGCAGCAGTACCAGTAGTGGTAGTAGTACCAGCTACACATTATACATGCTTGCTTCTTGCAGAGCCGCACAGTCTGGACTCAGGAGGTCGTGTCGTATGTGGAGTTCTCCGGTTTGCCTCTGGGTCAGAAATATTGTGCTGAGGCCAACTTCTCCTTCCCAACCTTTGCCATGGCGGCTTCACCGAAATCAGCCCCTCAGTGCGTTGAAACAGTCGCCAGTTCAGGTGAGGAGATGAGATACAGTTTACTTTAAAAACTAGAGGTTCCCAAATTAGCAGCTACCTGAACCATCTTCACGTTCGATAGCTTAAGAAATCACTGCTGCTTCTATAGTTTTGACACTGAGAACAGAAAACAGACCTGTCCATGGATCATTCACAACACATCCTACTTTCATTAGTTATGAGGTCCAAAATACTGCTTAGGTGCTATTAGGATACTAAGAACCTCCCATGAAACTGCAAGAAAGCCTCATAAAGACAGCTGTGCTTGGATCCTTAAACGATGTGAACCGCACTTTATAAGTCCAAGAGGTCAGCTAGATCTACTGCAGAAGCTTGGCTTGCCTCTTCCTACAGCTTTTCTGGTGATACAACTTGTAAATCTTGGGTCTGAAATGATTTAGTGTAGTTCTCTGCTTTTTTGAGCAGAGACATGTTCAACCTGCATGCATTTCTTCCCTACAGGGCTGCTGCCAGCGCTGTGTATGGGAATCGGGCTGACTTCCCTTCTTCTTTTCCCAATTCTCATCATGTATCTACGAAAATCAAGACAAGCTACACCAGCTACTGAGAATCAGCCCAAGGCTCCGGTATGATTTATTGTGTTTCACTTTATTTCACCCTCTGTTTTTATAAAATACTTAAACACATGCAGTTTTCCAGAATAAAACATTTCTTCTTTCATTCCTTAAGTCGTCTGCTCAAGAGCCGATCCCTTTGGTTCCTCTGTCCCCGGGTATAGTTGACCCTTGTGAGATCCACTTGGAGTTTATTCCTGACCATGTTTCCACTGAGCCCTTTTCTGGCATTGTGTCCAATCAGAATCTAAATCACAAACAGGGAAGCATGCACTCCAGCAATCGTCTCAATTATGACGCCAAATCGGATGAAGTGTACTGGGACAGCGGAGGGATGGAGCTAGATCGCGGCCTGGACTCTGGTATCAGCATCCCACCTGTTTCTCGCTCTTCTGAAGAGACATGTGAGCCCCATGGAGACTGAAAGGTTGAGAGCTTTCTCTTCGTGAATGTTGCTCTGTAAGGCTGGAGTTTGCCTCTTTCTCCCTCAGGGATGAAATAGGAGACTAAACTGCTCAAAGTATGGACTGGTCCATTTAAAATGTTTGGATGTGTTTCATCTATTATGGTCAAACACATTATGATTATCTGGAAGTTGACAACAAGTTGTCTTCATAGATTTTGGAAGCTAGACCTTTAAGCAAACATTGATGAGAAAACCCTAAACACAGGATAAATTGAAGCCTTAAAAACTATAGTTTCAGAAAACCTTTTCTGCTGATGAAAACCAAGTGATAGGACTGAAACCTACTGACTAACTGTTAAATAGATATCCAGGTTCAAAAATGAACTGTAACAGGAAACAATTGTCTTTTCCCCAGTTTGTAAGTACACATACACAAAATCTTTAGCTGAAGTCAAGAGCACCTGGTTAGATTTTTTTGTCTACAAAAAATAAATAAATCTGCAGAACTGAGTTAAAAAAAAGAACATTTTCACAGGACTGGATAGAGTCTTAAAAAATGAGTACACCCCATGATTTGGGTGTCCAGAGGAGTTCATGGTTCATGGTGTTTTTTTCTGTTTTAGTTTTTCTGTGAAGAACTTTGTGATTTTTGTCTTGAAAGGTGCTATACAAATAAAATTTTACTTTACTTACTTACACAATGACTCCAAGGTGTCCAGGTCCTGTGCCTGCAAAACAAGTCTAAATCATCACCCGTGCATCACCGTGTGTCACAGTGGCTATGACGTGTTTGGTTTTCTCCAAATGTGGTGCTGTACTTCATGGCCACACATCTCCATTTAGGTCGCATCTGTCCAAAGAACATTGTTCCAGAACTTCTGTGGTTTGTTCAGAAGCAACTTTGCAACCTCAGCCGAGCTGCCTGGGGTTGTTTTTTTTTTTTAGAGAGAGAAGAGACTTTCTTCTGACAACCTCTCCAAACACATCAAAAAATGCTCTGTTTTTTTTCTAATTGTTCTGATATGAACCATTTAAGTGACTAACTGAGCCCTGTAGTGTCTGAGAAACAGCAAAAGACCCATAACCTATGTCTACCCTGAGGTGAATTTGCTGGGATGGAAACTCCTGGGAAGATTTAGCAATGCTTTAAAACACAAATCAGATAACTGCCAAAACGTCTGCTTGCATAGAGGCTGTCAGACTTGCTGATGAACAGGTAATCAAGTGCATTTGATTATCACCACCCTCTTCATTTCTGTTGAAGCAGTAAAAGATGTATTTAGTTTTTCATAGGATTACACCGAACCTGCGATCGCTTACTTTTTCACATGACTGCAGACGGCCCAGCACTGCAACTACAAAGACAACAGTTTGAACCATTAAGATCTGTTAGCTTAATATTTTAACCTTTATTCAACTACTTCTAGTACAAAATAGCAGTGATACGTTGTGTTCACCAGTGACCATTTCCCCCCAGTTATCCGTTATCAGCAAATAATTTCAGTTATGCTATTAGCTATTTCGATTGTTATCCATGCTGTTAGCTTGCAACTGAAATGCTAGCCATTGCAGTATTGTGTTTCTATTGTCTATCCATGATATTCAGTGGTATCATTAGCTTCTCAAATATCTCTAACTGTTAGCCATATTGCTTTTTAATGATCAATTTCTATCATTTGTTCACATTTTGGATGTGTATAGTTAAAAGTTATTACATGGGCTGACCTCCTGGGAAGATTGTAGCAACACATTAACGCACAGTTGTGCTATTAGCTATTTCAGCTGTTATCCTTTTTATCTTACAATTCACATGCAAGCCACTGTACTACTGTATTTTAACTGTTTATCCATTATATTCGATGCAATATCGTTTGAAATATGATAGCCAGACTGCTAATTACCCTTTTCTATCATTTTGACCAATATTTTTAAAAATAATTTATGCATATTGCTGTTACTTAGTTTTTTAATTCTGCTTCTTTCTTTTTTTTGAGCGGGGCGCTGTCATGCTTGTTCAAGTCCACCCAGCTCTGTAAACCCCCAGCTGCTGTAGAAACAGGCTACATCCTAATTGGGAGTTACTGTGAGGCTTATAATGGGTCCTCAGCACCCAATACTTGTCTTCTATTTTGGTTCTAATTAACAGACTGGCTGCTGTGTTGGTTGGTCAGGGGGCACCAGGGTTGTCCAATGAGTTTTCATGAGTTCACACCCCCCAAGGAGCGTCTTTGACGTGGATAATGGCTCCCTTAGGTTTGTTTGGGTGCCGTCTGTGCTTAACTCGGACCTCTGAACTTTCCTTCTCAGATTAGGCATCACATTGCAGAGGCAGCGATAAACAGAGGCCACCGGTTTACTGCTCACACTATGATTGTGTTTTGTTGTCCGCTATGAAGTAATAGAAATGTGGCTCCTAATCTGAAACCTACAAGCAGATTCCTGTCAGATATGAGTCAGTGTTTCAGGAAGAGGGTCAGAGAACTAGATGGTGAGTGAAAATTATCAGTCAAGCAAAAATTGTTTATCTGGGAGGTCCAAAAGAAGCCGTTTTGTGTGTGTGTGTAAACGTCAACTTACTCGGAGAGTGGTTCTTGTCCCCCCTGCTTTTTGTGCTGTATTCCACTCCAAACCATAGCTTCATAAACAAGAGCTAGGAAAACTTTAGACCCCCCACATACTGCCGGCAGCTCTGCCGATAACATAGTGTGTTATTTTTCTGTCATTCATTGCTGTAAAATGTTTCTGACTCACAGTTGCCCCATCAGAGCTTTGCTGCCTCTAACCCGTGACTCGCACCTCATCCTGCACGAAGACAAGAAACATCTTGACATCTCACTTTTTTTCCTTCTGTTTTGCTGGTGTTGCATTCTTTCCGCAACATTGGGAAGTCCTGCGGGTTTGGCCATCCAATATTGTTTGTTTCCCCATCTGACTTTTCCAGAGTCCACAGAGACCTGGGGGTTACCAAAGCTCCACATACAAGCCTTTGGTTTGGCTTTGTTAATAACTACAGCGCATTATCTGCCATTTGTATTATTCAAGAAGTTTTCTTGGACAGGGTATTTTTTATCAGCCTCCAGTCTGTGACAGCTCTCTGCTTCCTGATAATGACATGGAGTTTACCTATAACGCTTGTTTACAAACTGATAAATTATCCTTGTAGCAAAAACTGTCGTAATCTTAAAGGTAATCACGTTTTCCTCTTAAGGCTTAGTTAATTGTGTTGAAAGTGATGGCTTTTTAATATCATCCCTAATACCTAATCTACATGTAGTTTAACACAACTGTACACAATAATGTTTAGAGCGCCTCTTGACCATTTGGCAGCAGTGAGGTTTTTATGTTTTTCTGGTTTGGATGTGTGCTGGCCCTTGAGAGACTCCTAATTTAAAAAGTCATTGCTTCATTGTATAAAGCAACAAGCAATGTGAAGAAAAAAAATAATATATTTGTGATTTCTAATCCTTGAATGCAGCTCAGCTACAAAAGAGTTTGATAAAAAATAGAACTGGTACTAAAACACTGCTTACAGTGTAGCGAATCTCTTCATGAGCGAAATGAAGAGTAACTCCTACCTGGTATTGTGTGAAAAACAAATTGCCTCCTAAACCTAATAACTGGTTTTGCTGTCCTTCCCACTAAGAACTGCAATCAGGCATTTGTGATTACTGGCAGTGAGTCTCTCACATCACTATGGAGATACTTTAGCCACTCCTTATTGCACAACAGTAGTCACTTTCCCAGCATGAGCGACCTTTTGAAGGTCCTTTTAAAGGTCATGCCAACATATTTTAATTGGATTTAAGTCTGGACTTGGACTAGGCCACTCCAAAACCTTCATTTTGTTTGTTTAGCCATCTTGAATTGGAGTCCCTGCTGTGTTTCTGACCATTGTCCTCCTCTATAACCTGAGTGCTCTCGAGCTACAGGGCATGAAGTGATGATCCAATACTCTCCTTCAAGGTTGTTTGGTAGAGAGAAGAACTCATAGTTCCAACAATTACAGAAAAGCAGCCTCAGACCATCACACTACCATCACCATGTTTGACTGCTGGTATGAAATGCTGGGTTAGTTTACGTCTGCTCAAACAGGACTCCAACCCTTCAAAAAGTTAGGTCAATAGTAGTTTTTTCCTTGAACTCTCCCATGGATGTCATTTTTGCCCAGTCTCTCTCATATTGTTGAATCATAAACTCAGAAATCAGTAAAAGGGGCAAATACGTTTTCTCTTTAATATAATAAAGATGCTGTTGGATGATTAACCATTGTGAAGTAACCCCTGTGGGTTAAAAGTTCAGCTAATACTGAACTAGATGAGGTTTGTTTTCAGTGAAGATTTCAATCATACTGGAGGGACAGAGGACCTGACCTTAGTCGAGGTGAGGTAGGTCCAGAATTTCCAGGAAGGCCTCTTTATTTATTCTCTGTCATCTGATCAGGATATTTGGTTTTGATAGATTTGTTTTATACCAAAGGGCATCTTCTTGAGCCAATGTGTAAATCTTCCAGGTCAAAAGAACGATTCTGTTTGTGGTCACCGTTCCTGGGTACAGAGCAATCGCATGGCGAATCAAAACTGCCAGTTTGTGGTTGAACCTGATGTATTTGGACTGTTTTTGAGAGCCATTCAACAGCTGCAGTCCAAAAGTTGCATAATGTCAGGAAAAACCAAAACAAACCAAAAAAAAAACCCAGATGTGCTTACAGACTCAAAACATTGGTTCAGTTTAGTTTAAGTATTAAAGTGTACACATCACCTTGCTGATAAATGACACTAATATTCACCTTTAATTCTCATATTAACATTTAAGAGACCGAATTAATAGTTACAGATTTTAATAAGAGCTACCATAAAAGTTTGAGACTGTTCATTTCTTTGTAAATGAGTAAACTTACAAATCGAGCAGGTGATGAAATAATTATTTCATTTAGAGTAAGGCTGAACTTGATAACTAACAGACCAAACACTCTGGGTCATTTAACATATTTTAACTTGTTGTTACACACTTGTAAAACAAATGACCAACTTATCAGAAATGAATACTAATAAATGTATATCTTCTGCTTGAATCACACACACTGGCTTATGTTTCATGTCTCTGTGCCAGGCAGGAAATACTTAGTCACCCGTTGAGTGACTCATCGGCCCTCTTGGGGTTCAACTTGTTTCCACCCCCAGCGTCGACAGTATGGCCGTCTGCAGATGGGCAGCAATGCTCAATTAAGAAACATGCTGCATGTCAGCACCCTTTTTGGACTCAAACGCTAAAAGAAAAAATACACAGACCATCCAAATAGTCGTTTAGTTGTAACAACAGTCTTTTATTTGGCCATACATTAGATTTCAATCATTCGTTCAGTATTTAATATACACGATATATACATAAGCAAATAAAAGACGTCAGCGTCCTCGTCTTGCAGTAAAGGTTGGCAGTGCAATCTTGGCCTTTTTAACAGTGTCACTGGGTTCCTTTCATCTTCTCCCACTCACACGTGCACCCACGCAGACGGCGTCGGTCGGCTCGGAGCCGTTTGATCCTGCTGCTCAAGTTCAGTCCAGTTCAGCCTCTCTCCTCTGTTCATCTGCGCCAATACTGAAAAGGGAAAGAACAAAGTGAGCTTAAATCAGCAGTTTGAACGCTGAACAACAGAAAAGCTGGGTCTCATCTTGGAGGTATTGGAAGAAAAGTAAACTTATGCTATCAGCTATTTAGCTTCTGCGTTTTGAATTATTTACACCTACCTGTGCAAATTTGTGTATCTGCTCGACGACAGCAGCGAACAAAGCTCCGACGCTCTCATCAATCAGACTCTGCATGTAGTGAACCGCCTCCTCGTCCGACAGGTCCAGTCTGAACTTATCCTGCACCTGGAGCCACATAAATATCCACGCATTAACCCTTTATTCATCATTGTATTATTTAGGGTCTTTAAAATAATATGTAAAGTGCCTTGAGGCAGCTGTTGTGATGATTTGTTGTTATAGAAATAAAACTGAACTGAATTACCACAGGACCATTTTACAAGTGCGCTTTAAAAGACCTTAACTCCGTTTGTAGTAGAGACAAAATTCAAATGCAGAGAACAGAAGACGAGCTTTACAGGTATATTCATATTATATCACTGTAGCACAAAGCATTCACCTCCACCTGGATTTTACCAGGTGCTCTTCACATTACTTTAACTCCCCAACCATTTTGAGCTAGAGGGAAAATTCAAATGGTTCCTGAACGAAGATAGTTATTTTATCATTTTAACCTCCTAGGACCTGCCGTCCACATATGTGGACATCACATTTTGGGTTATTTAGACCAAAATACTCAATTTTGCTCTACAAGGGCCTGATATCTACTTACGAGGACATTCTACTGTGCTATTGAAATTTTAAACGAATATCCTCATATGTGGCTCTTATTTGTCTTAGAAACAAAAATTAGGCAAAAAAAAAAAATCTTTGCTTTACATTCATCAGGTCCCAATCAGAACAAATATCAAAGAGAAATTAAAAACGCATGATGTGGAGGAGTTCGGGTCTTAGGAGGTTAAAACCAAAATTACAAAATGACTCATCCTGTGTGATATTTGGGTCCCAAAGGTTTAAGTAATGTGAACTTTAAGGGTTAACCAGACATTTCTTGGTTACAGATAATGGGATGCTCCACAGGATCACGCTGTAATCTTAATCACAGGTTCATGGCAGTGCAGTAACAGCTCTTTGACTCAGTTTGTCTCAAATGTACTTAAACTTTACTGAACAATATTCATTATAAATAAAGCATGATTTCATGACAGCTAGTGTCTTCTTAATCCCCCTCAGGAAAACAAAAGACTTTCTGTAGGAGGCTACAAAGACAACCGATCTGATCTCCCCAGTACCCTTAATGACCTCAGCCCTGAACAGAGCTTTAAGGGTGACTCCTAGCAGACTTTCAAAGGGTAAAGAGCTAAAGCTACCAACCACCTTACCTTCTTAACAGTTTTGTCAGGCTCAAGAGCGATGTCAGGAATATTGGCATCCACCATGAGAGAGAACAGGTTCAGGATCAGGTTGGAGTACCTGAGGAAGTGGAAGACGAGGAGCATATTGCACATTAGCTACAGTGGTGTCCATTAAAAACTGACAATGCTTTCCTTGTATTACATGTTTGCAGTTTTACTTGAAAGTAGCTTTTCAAGCTTTAAGGGTGCAAGTAAAAGTAAAATATAACTCCCAAGGATGATTAATCAAAGACAATATTTGGTAAAATTCACATCAAAGTGTTTTTTCCAATCACAGCAATGATCATCGTCATTAAACGTCTTTCTCAGACAAATTTAAAGACTTTTCAAGCTGCAATACAGTTTAGATTTTTTGCTTTTTAAAAGTTAAAACCAGTCTGATGATGGATTAGTCCTGTTTAATATCCCTTTAATCCACTGATTAAATAAACTCACTTAAAACCATGTTGGTATGTTTGTGTTGTTACTGTCCATATTCACAGTTTGCTTGGCTCAGAATCATCGTTTTGCTTTTATGTGTTTGCATGTACCTCCTAAGATGAAGAAAGGCGGTGTAGCACTGCTTCCTGAACTCCTGGTACTGTTCGCTCTGCATGCCTCCCATACCCTCCACCATCTCTTTGCTCAGCTTCATGGGCGGAGGCAGCGGTTTGGGGTCTCGGCCAAGGATGTAGCCGAAGTCTATGTGGAAGAGCTTCCCTGGATGGAGAAATGTGACAATTAAAAAAAAAACTTAGAAAGTAGGAGGTTTTGATTTCTGAGATCATGAAATCCTCCAGCGTGGAACTACGGAAGCTTCTTAACTCAAATTTCTGAGAAAATAACGTGAATTTTCAAGTCAGAAATTTGAGATATTAACTTCCAATGTCAACTTAGGTCTACCAATCCAGAAAAAAACATTTTTTCCCAATTGACAGAAACGAGCTTTCCTTAGCCTCTGATTTCTAAGAAAAACAGATACATCTACTGGGGCGCTTGCAAGGTTGTCCTTTAAGTCCAGTCGTTTTAAGCTTTGATACAGTGCCAGTGGATAATAATCTAACAAATAAGCCCTGTAAACATATGGAAGTCACACAGCTACCTAAAGCTACACAGGCTTGATGTTAGTAAGTTAGTGTGTTTGCCTCACCGGTCTTTGTCAGCAGCAGGTTGTCCAGGTGTCTGTCTCCCACTCCCAGGATGTACGTGATGACACAGTAACCAGCTGGGAAATAACGAGAGGCACATTGATCAGATATTCAATCGGCTCCTCCAGCAACTAAATGAGCACCGATCTGTTACGAGCGTCTCACCGCAGCTCTTGACGTAGGTATCCATCACCTCTGAGCTGATGCCGTACGGCCCTTTTTCACTTGGCGCGTGCTTCCTAAAGAAGCTCTGTCAACACAGGATTAAAATGAGCACTTAAATCGAAGCAGCGCCCTGACGCGCCGTGTCTCTGACAAACTCTGCTCACCTGGATGTTGCCTTCAGTAGCCAGAACTTCAGCGACAGGAACCGACTGGACAAACTGCATAAAACCTAAGCACGCAACACGTTTTCTGCATTAGGCTGAACATCTTTAATACTTTGAAATCATAACAGCTTAAAACGCTGCTGCTGAGTTACTTCATTCTTCTTACCGTGCTTGGTGCTTGTGGCCAGAACTTTATAGGGTGTCAGCTTCAGGTCCAAATTCTCTTTTCTTAACAGCTTTAAGACAGAAAAAAATGATGACACACACTGACACAGACTCCTGACTTATGAAGATAATCTTGGACTTTGTCTCTCGTCAGTGATGAGCTAAAATATTTTTTTAAGCAAAAAACATCGTCTTCAACTTCCTGGGGGCAGTCCCGTCTGTTAACGAGCACTTCTTACTTTGTCCATGAGCGAGATGATCTGCAGGATGAGCTGATCTTGTCTCAGGTCGTCTCCGTGTTTGAAGATGACTGGATATGTGGCTCCATCCTCAGCCTTGAAGATCAGTTTGGCGGGCATCAGAGCACTCTGACACACAAACACACAGAGAAAAGCCTTTTATTTTTGCATAGATACTGCTCGTAATCAGGACAATCTGCACCAAAGCAAACTGCACTGAAATCAAAGGCAAGCCTCTGCCTTTCTAACAGCACCACTGACGACTGAAGGGATATAACACAGTGGTCAGGGGATCACATCAAGTACAAGTAAATAAGTACCTGATAGTGAAATTAAACATGAAAGCACCCCTGTTTTTCTAATGTGCATCAAACACACTGTTAGTAAGAGAAAAGACAGTCTATTTCCTCTTAAGTGCCTGCACAGGCTCTGTGTGAGATCTGATGCTATGGAGGAAATGAACGATGAAGTGAGCAAATTTGCACTTTTGATGAGTAATGACCACACCCGCGGTTACTTTTACAAACTGTCTGAAGGCTGTAGCTGAGCTGCTGTTTAGCTACTCCACCTGCCTGATCATTGAATTTACATGCCACAAATCACCATTTATTCTCTCATGTTAGCAGTTTATTTAAATGGTAAATGGACTGATTCTTATATAGAGCTTTTCTACTTTAACTGAGCACTCAAACATATCACATTCGCCCGTTCACACACATTCATGCAAGCACTGTTTCCTTTCTATCTAACACTCACACTCTGATGAACACAGAGATCAACTTGGGGTTAGCATCTGGCCCAAGGATACTTCAACATGCAGACTGGAGCAGCCAGGGTTCAAACAACCAGCCTTCAGATTAGTAGATGGCCTCCTGAGCTACACCCCCAGTCTCACAACGGCGAGACTGGGGAGCACTTTTAATGCCTTTTAATTGGTCGAGACAGCGAAAGGATGAGGTAAAGGCTTCTGTACCTTGAAGAGTGTGGCTGTCTCTGGGATGATGCCTTTGATCCTGATTTGAGGCTCCAGAGGAAGCGGAATCGCCTCGATCTCTGACAGGTTCACCTTCTCGTTGTCAGCCAGCAGGGCCTGAAGTCGCTCTGTCTGCAGAAACACGTGAAGGTTTGCTGACATTAACACAAGTAAGCAGGATCAGTGTCACCAGGAGCACACACCGAAGTCAATTAAGTGTTTGTATGTGTGAATAAGGAGTGCTTTTATTAAAAGGACAGCGTACTACTGCGTATTAAAACAGGAAATAAATACAAACACTTCTCATAAATAAACCATGTTCTGGAAATATCTGTTGATTTACTCAGATATAAAAAACATGGGAGCCTACACAGGTGGGTTTTTTAAAAGCACATTTAACACCGAAGCTGTTTTGAATATCTTTGCTACCTTCTTCTTGCGGTTTCCGCTCTCCCGTTGGACAGCCTTCATCAGCTGCACCAGTCTGTCTACAAACGTCTGCTGGGCAGCCAAGAGCGACCGCATCACCCTCACGGTCTTATCACCCTGGAGAAAAGAAAAAGTGTGAGCACACAGCAGTGGAGACACACACACACAGTGAGTTCTTTGCTACATATTACATCAGTCAGCCGCTTTTATTGTACAGGCTTATCAGACCGGGGCAAATTTGGAACAATCCAGAATTTTAAAAATGACCCATTTACACTCAACTCCAAACTCTTTTTCTTGACAATATCCTTAAATCTCATCTAATAATATAAGTCCAACAAAGGAAAATACACTGAGACGTATTTTTATAACATTATGATCCAACTATGACACAGCTGGCAGCGTTATTTTGGGTATGCTCTTTGATAAATGAAGGCAGAAAGTGATTAAAACAAGACACCTTATTGGTAAAAGCATTGGGATGCAAATAGATTTTTACAGAGTAGCAGGGTGACATGATATATAACACTAACTCACACTCGATGAGACATCAGCTAACTTTGCCAAAGTAAGTTAAAAATCTGACCTTTAGCAAAGCCTGACTGAACCTCCTCATGACGTTCAGGTACATCTCGTGGGTCTTTGGATCTCTCTGCTGTGTGTCCTGATCTTCACACTCCACAATCACATACCTGAGGAAGAAACGTGGATTTATACACACATTTTTATGACTAACTTCTTTTTGTCCAGGCAGAAAACAAAAAGCACTGTAAAGAGGACTCACCAGTACAAATAGTTGGCAAGTGTAGAGTTCTTGCAAGCACGAGAGATCAGGAACGTGCAAAGGTCTTGCTGCAAAGACACGAGGACACAATGCTGCGTTACGAACAACTGATAGGACAACATGACAGAGCAACGCACTGTCCACAGGTCCTTTATGGGGATTTTTATTTGCTCACCTCTAGATTCTCACTGTCAGCTCCCTCCTTTCCCTTCTGTGGCGTAGTGGATGATCCAGATGAGCCAGAAAGAATTTGGGAACTGCAAAGCATGTGACAATTTTACACATCTACTTAAAAGGATCGTGTATATGTTACTGACAGCTGATTTTTCAAACTGACAGCTTCTTTTTAAAATGTGTGCATTGTTCATTCTTATTTCATTCCACGTGTAAGACAGCATTGTGGCAGATCTGCAGCTGTCTGGATCCAGCTGCAGATCTGCCAGTAAAATCATAACATTCAATGAGTTCATCGCGGTTTCTGAAAGAGAAATAATCAGATCCTGCAGATCGGCTGATGCCCTCTCAGCTGGGGAACATTTGGGGGTAAATTTAGACCCAGAAAGTGAACAAAAAAAACCACACACATACTTGAGTCATCTCAAAGCCACTTTTAGACATTTTCAGTTTCAGAGCCAGAAGAGAAGCTAATGCGATCAGCGGTGTTGACTCATTTATTAACCAGAGTGGCTTTAAAGTACTGACCTGTCCAATGCAGCGTCATCTGAAAGTCCCTGGCTATCTCTCTTGCTGCCTGGATCTAAACCACCCTGAATATCACTGAAGTTCTCATACTTGAGCGCCTGCACCAGCTGAAGCAGGTACATCAGCAGGTCCTAGAGAGGAGAGACAGGAATTATCATTATGATTTCAATGTAATTGATTTAATGCTCCTGATTAAGCTTGATTTAGAGTCCTGCATTCCCCGCCGAGCCTATAGTGTAGTGATAGGGATTGTTGGTGGCTTTTATACTTCTGGTTGCATTGCTCTGCCATTACAGAGGAAGTAGAGCTGATCGTGCTGGAAAGTTTCATACAACACATGAACAAATAACAGTCAGACTTCAAGTAATTGAAAGAAAGAATAAAATGGAAAAACATATATTTGTATTCAAGTTTTTTAAAGGTTTTTCCACCCACACACGACCTGTCCTCCTACCTCATCATCAGCCTGCTGCAGCCGAGCCACCGCATAGCGTCTCACTGTGGGGTTGGTGAAATGGGATGACAGCAGCTCCAGAGAGTCCTCCACATCCATGGGCTTCCACTTTCCCAGCAACTCCAGAGCCTGCTTGGCCTCCTGGGGCAGATCCCAGTTCACACACTTGAGGAACTTTGTCAGGGCCTGCAGTCAGAGGAGGAGGAATCATTGAACATGTATACAGACGTAGCAGCAGCAGTCGCTGGGGAGGAATAGTTGGAAGTTACACATAGTAATGTACACTTGGTTGTAACGGGGAAGACACCAGCAGCACACCTTTTCCTGTGTGGTGAGGTAGTATCTGAACTTCCACACCAGATCCTGCTCTTCAGAGCTCAGCTGCTTGGTTGGAGGGTAGCTAACGATGATCTGTTCATGCAAACAAACAATTTTAGATTAAAGCAAGCAAAGTTATTATAGAAACATAATTGTTCTAACGATTCTTTCTTTTTTTTTTTCACTGATCTTTTGTGATGTCTACACTCAAAAGCATCCGTCTTCTTTTAGCAACAGTGTATAAACATAACACAGAACAGTTTCCAGTTCAGTACATTTTAAATGGGTTTCTGGATCGTGTTCACATATGGATTCTTTTTCTCATGATGGAGCTTTATCCTGCATTTGTGGATGCTGACAGAGAACTGTGTTCACAGACAGGATTTATTTATGGAAGGGTTCATGAGCCCAAGCATTGATTTCCATGACAGAATCGTGTTTTTTTTCCATGAAGGCTATAAGATCACAGTCATACAATACTGATTTTTGTCCCTTGCACACAGAGATTTCTCCATATACTCTGAATCTTTTGATATCATGTGCTGTAAATGATAAGATTTAATGCTTTCTTTGTTCTATAGTAAATAAACTATAGGTTTGTGCGATTTACCAATCATTCCATCTTATTTTTATTTATGTTTTACACAGCGTCATAGCTTTTTTGTAGTTCTAAAACTTGAGTAGCTGCTAGCTACTCACATTGAGCTGGTCACGTGTGGCAGCATTAGGCTTCAGGTCATGATCTGAGGGCCCACTGCGAAGGCTACGAGCCAGTTTGTGATGCTTGCTCTCTACCAGGTTTTCCTGTGAAGGAAAAGAAAAGCCAAAGTTACAGCATGTGAATGAAATGATGTGTGAGCAAACTAGCACACAACATTTATATTTCTTCAACATCATGAAATCATTTTCTCACCATCCCCATCTGTGGGTCGGGAACTTTGACAATGTCGCAGCTGGTAAGAACTGGTGATGCATCGTCTCCATCCTTAATGGCGACAAAGGAGAACAGACCAATCAGCCGACACCGTTCCAACACGTGGTATCTACCTGCTGTGTGCTGCCACTAATAATCAGGAAATTACCTTTTCATAATAGACGATGCTGTACTCCTTGTCATTTGATTTGACACGAGGAAACTCCACCATGAGGTACATAAAGTTGGAGCTGCGCTTCTCACTCTGCAGAAAGACAATTTCACATTTTTCAATTTGAAAAATGTAAATAAGCGCGAATTGAACCGCAAATACAGTTGATGATTCAATTCCTCCTAAATAAGCCTTCATATCCTTCTGAGACTAATCTTCACATAGTACATCTTATTGATGCTTTCTCGACTCGACTGCAGAGTCGGCCTGTGCAACCAGAATCGAGCTTAACAAACTCACTTCATTGATCATCTCAATCTCTCTGAAGGTCAGCCGGTCCAGCCAGTCCACCTTCACCATGTGGCCCTGCCGATGAGCCTTTGTCAGCTGGATGGAGAGATGGGAAGGTTTGCAGAGAAATGAGCACATAATTTTAGCAAAATCAAAAGAGAAAAATACAGAAACGGCCGTTCTGTTGAACTGATCACAGCATGGCGGCTGGTGTGCAAACAGCCCGACCGATCATGCACAGTGCCAGCGGCCAATCCAGCATCTCCGCACACTCAGCAGCCAGTCCACTCATCAGTTAGTGAGTGTGGGTGTTGGGAATGTAAGCACACACTTGGCCACGAACAGGAAGCCCACAACTCAGCTGCGTAGAATAAATACTCACTCTTTAAAACAACATATGAACTGGTAGCAGCCTGAACACAACCTCTAATATACTTAAGCCAGCTGCATTTATGATGAATAATAATAATAATAAAACATGGGGAATCAGTGTAGTTCTTTTAGGAAACAAAATTTAAAAATAAAATTAGCTAACGTTGAAATAAAATGTACTCCCTGATAACCTCTTCTAAGTATCCCATAAAGCTACAACGAGTCAATGAATATAATTGTGTGTCCACATAAATATGAAATCCATGCACACACATGAAAACACACCAACACGTGAAATATGGAGGACTGAAAGTGCCAAAATCAAAAATAGAGTAAAATAAAAAACTGATAAACAAATCAATATGTACTCTATTTCCTATTTCTTACCTTTGTAACAATTCACTTGTTTATTTACTTTCACATAATTTTCTAATTTATTTTTAAAAAGTACTGTATTATATTATTTAGGTATTATATGTCCTTAATGTGTTTCCCATACGCATTTCTTTTATTTTGGCATTTCTTTATACTTCATTATGCAGATAAATAGGCTTTATTATTGTCATTTTAAGTGTGTAGTTGGCTCATGATAGAAAGGTTAGCCTCCAGTCCGGTATGGTGACTCTCCAATACAGTTATGTCAAAAAGAAGGTTTTCACAAAATACTGACATACTTGACTATTATATTATTTCATATATTTATTATTTTGCCTAAGCATTTCTTTAAATATTTAGCAAACAATATTCATATTTGAACGATATTTGAATTAAGTGTTTATTAATGTATCTCAAGTCATTCATTTCTTAATTTTGGCAGTTTTAATCCTCCATAACAAGCAGAAAACTGATGTGTGTAAATGCTTTAAAAAACACAGCCATACATCTTCACAGACAAAAAAAAAAGTTTTCACACCAAAACCTGGATCAAAATGTATTTGTAAACACACTGAGCAGATTTATGCTGTTTACAGGTTTCCCACATAGAACAGTGCAAAGTGAACAGAGGTCTGACACGAGGAGGAAGTGAGTACTTAACGTCCCTGCCACAGTTTGAATTGTCCTGATGTGGTAACCATCATTTTCATACTGTGTTATACAAATGGAAAGCTATTTGCAGATACATTTTGGCCATGGCCTTGTTCATACATATACAGTACACACACATAATCTGCATTGCCAACACTAACTCCTGCAGTGGTACTCACATCACTGAGTACCTCCAGGTCAGGGCCCTGGAACAGATGATGGTTTAGACAGTGCTTTGCATTGGATGGTTTCTTTTTATCCAACGTTTCCTGTTCACCTTTGCCTCTACTTCATTGCCCAATCCTTTCCTTTCAGTCCTTTAATCACTCATCCTCATCATCATCCTCCTCTTTCCTATCCACACACATGTATACAATATTATACCTTGGCGAGCCTGCCCATCTGGTCCTCTGCCAGGCTGCTGCTGGTGCGTCCCGGTGTGGTTGTGGGCTCTCCTCCATCCCCTTCCACGCCTGGCCAAACCTTCAGGTCATGCATCCCTTGCCGGAACATGCTAGAGCAGGATGGGAGGAGGGGATTTAAACTCACGCACACTACTACATACTCAGACCTTTAAACACTGATTTCAGCACGGCAGCTTTTGGAGACCACAGCAGACCAAAGGACAAGGCAAAATGTTAAGGTTCACCTGTATTCACAACTACACAACATAGCCTCACTGTCACCTGCCATGTTATCACTTCTTCTTTTCAGACTGAGCTTTTCGTGGCCCAAAAGTGCAATACAAGGGCCTAGCATGACACTAGATTTTGCTTCCATTGATGTTTCTCCTCCGTCTTTCCTTCTCCATACTTTTCTCTTCTATCATCCTGTTACAAGTTAATCTTCACTTCATCAGTCAAAGGTAGATGCACCGAAGTTCTGTTTTTCTCAGAACTGCGTCGGCTCTCTTAAACGTTTTCTGGTAAAGTGTAATCTGACCTCCTTGCGTAACCAGTGGTTTGCACCTCGTTCTAAACTCTATATTTAGATTCATGAAGGAGTCTATTGACTGTAGACTTTGACACTGGCTGACGACCGCCTGTGCTACGCCTCAGCCTCCTAGTAGACACACCTATGGTATACATTTAAAATTCTGATTTTCATAAAAGTTGACCTCTGACTTTGACGTGCACCTATGGTATCAGATTAAAACTCCTCCTTGAAGTATCACATTCACGAGACTTTCAGAAAACTTGACCTCTGAACTTGACATTCAAAGTCATTCGAGATTTTTGGTAGATGCACCTCAGGTATCAACTTCAAAATCCTACATAGCCTCGTTCTCAAGTTACCACATTCATAAACTTGAGTGTCCATGCTGTCTCTTGAAATAAAAGCTGAAAGTCTGCACTTCAATCACTTCTTACCGTGTTTGATTTAAAATTCCCTGCAGGGGAGTACATTAGTAAAATTACATAAAACATGTGGACCTATCTGTGTGTTGTAATAATAGGGAAATGTCATAAAAAATTGCAAGGCAAACCTAGACTTTTCTCTCACCAGCGTGCCTTGACACATCACCTGGAAACCACTGCCAAAAGTAACAGAGCAAGGACACACTTACCCATATTTGCCAAACAGAGTCACGGTGGTTCCACCGACTGGAACGGCTCTGCCGGGCCCATAAATGTCCCACACTGTGAGAGCAACCTGGGCACTTTGGGGAAGGTCGGGGTACTTGACTGGCAACCGCAGCCACTCGTTCCAGCTGCACCGGAAAACAGGATAAACAGAGAAAATAAAATGCACATGTAGAAGTGAGTAGCTGATGGCCATTTTGCTACAGAACTTTGAAAAAAATTCCTTTGCTTGACTTTTACAACCTCATAATCAGTGCATTACATCATATTATAATAACACTAAAACCCAGCATGGTTCTTACTTCCAGCGTGTGCTGAATGCTTTGTACGAGGTGCGAACAGGAAGGGCCAGAGGCTTTCCTTCAGCAAACACCTGACAGGTTACATAGAGGTCTGAGCAGTTCTCCTGGTAGAGCCCAGAGAAGCGCAGCATCGGGTCTTCGAGCAGCGCTTTGTAGCTCTTCTGCTCTCGCTTTCCTTCTAAACTGCCTCTGAAAGAGGGGAGAAGAGAAGGTCAGAGTGTGGAGCTGCAGTCTGATTGTTTGCTGATGTTATCAAGAGTGCTCCAACTTGTCTAGCTTCTCTTCTCACAAGTAAGTCAATATTTCTTTTGTGTTTCCTACAAAACAGATTTTCAAAGCCTGCCGAGTCAAAATATCCCCCAACAATGCTGCAAACCTTTATTTAACTCACCTTTTTTGCTCTTTGTATAAAGAAAACCCTCCAAGTATGGAGTGCAAATACTGTATTTAGTCAAGATACCATGAAGAAAAAAAAAAAAAAAAGATATTTGCTGTTACTGAGAATTTCAATACCGCAGCACTAGCTCCCCCCACCAGCAAAGAGGTTTCTGGCCTTCAATAAAAGGGAACATACCCCGGCCATGATTTATAACATGCTCAAAGTACATTTGTGTTTAAACAAATGGCCAGAAATGACAGAAAGATACACAGACTGCTGTTAAATAAGGTAACACACACTCCTACCATTCTATAAAACTCTACAATAACTCTTACCTGTCAGGTATAAGAGTCCACACACATATTTCTGCATTATAGCTTATTGCAGCTGTTTCTTAGACTCACAAGGGGCATATTATTTATGAATGCATTGCAATAATCTTGCATTATCTCAGTCTTACTAGTAGTACAGTCGACTGTACTATTTTTATTCATTATCCTGCTGCTGCTACACAATAAATCCCCCTGTTGGAGATAAACAATAAATGATCTGTTTATCTTGCAGGTGTAGTCACCCCATTTGGAGGCAGAAAACTCCAGTGAAAATCTGACCAAATTGTGGAGCTATTTAATAATAATACCATCATAATGCAATAATAAAACTCATGAGCTGCACACAGGATTTAAATATAGGACACACTGAGCTCAGATAATAAGAGTTTAGCTCAGGGGGGCATATGCTACCTGAGTCATGATGGTAACATTAAGCAACCGACTGGCCTAACAGTGCTTCTGTCTCTCCTCCCACCCCAAAAAGGACAATAAACACAATACAACACTGTAATTCATCAGAACGACGTAAAGCAGAACCAGTGTTTCTAATACATGTGGACTGAGTCTTGATGAACAGAAGAAGGCTTGTCTCTTCCTTTTCTGTAGGTACAAATGTAATGTAATTATACTTTCATATAACCTAAAATTACTGCAAATGCATGATAATCTTACATTTGCACATAAAGTAAGAGAAGAACAGCAAATCGTAACTCTGGGGCTTGTAATGGCAGTCTGCTGTCTCCTGTTTGACTGTTTGGTTTATGTGTGCGCGACAAACAATGTGTTGGACAAACTTCAAAGTCAGAAAAACGTGTTAACGAGACACAACGCGCGCGCACACACAAAGGAAAGCATCGCGTGAGGTCACAAGATACAGGAGTTTACGCCGCCTTGACCCAAAGAGACTCAGTGAAAAACTCACATCTTAAGTTGAACATTGATGTCCATATCACAGCTGTAAACATAGTTGAATTTATCAGTGTCCATCTTCCGACGGGGAAACTCTGAATTCCAACCAGAGACCGGATGACTTCAACATGAAATCCCGGACAGTTATAGGAGACTTTGCGAGCGGTTGTGTTTGCGACCAGGCCTCGGATCAGCACCCCGCAGAGCTCAGCTAAAGGTCCCGCCACACGGCTGGAGACGCTGTAGGTCCGGACACGAGTTTAAAAGGATGTTAACTGCCTACATTCACGATAAAGACATAATTCTAACGGCTGTCTCGCCGGGCATGATTTGGTGTTTTTGTTAGCTACCTACACAACACAGCAGCAACCGAAACCTACAGTCAGGCGAGAGCAGTCGAATTGCGATATAGTGACTGAGACGACTGAACGTGGGATTGTCATATCGTGGGGTTGATTAACCGAGTCTGATGCGGAAAAGAAGGAAGTAAAAAAAGAGGCGGAACGTTTATATTAAAGGAGCAGTGCACACATCAATAGAACTACACAAATACACTGGGGAAAATATTCACTCACTCATCCAATTCACTGAATACAGGTGTTCTAACCACTTCTATGGCCACAGGTGTATAAAATCAAGCTACTAGGCATGCAGACTGCTTTTACAGAAATTTGTGAAAGAGTGGGTCACTCAAAGGGATGCTGAATTCCAGCATGGTACCGTGACAGGATGCCACCTATACAACAAGTACAATCGGGATATTGCCTCACTGTTAAATATTCCACAGTCAACTGTTAGTGGAAATATAACAAAGTGAAAACGATTGGGAAAAACAGCAACTCAGGCATGAACTGGTAGGCCACGTAAAATCAGAGCATGGTCAGTGGACACATGGTGCACAGAGGTTTCCAACTTTCTGCAGAGTCAGTCTTACAGACCTCCAAACTTCATGTGGCCTTCAGATTAGCTCAGGAACAACCATAGAGAGCTTCATGGAATGGCCGAGCAGCTACATCAAAGCCTTACATCGCCAAGCGCAATGCAAAATGGTGTAAAGCACGCCACCACTGGACTCTAGAGCAGTGGAAATGTGCTCTCTGGAGTAACTAATCACGCTTTGCCGGATGGCAATCTGATAGACGAGTCTGGGTTTGGCCGTTGAAATTTTGGACAATTTCACGCTCCCAACTTTGTGTGAATAGTTTGGGGATGTCCCCTTCCTGTTCCAATATGACTGCACACCAGTGCACAAAGCAAGGTCCATAAAGACATGGATGAGTGAGTTTGGTGTGGATGAACTTGACTGGCCTGCACAGAGTCCTTACCTCAACCCAGCAGAAAACCTTTGGGATGAATTAGAGCAGAGACTGTGAGCCAGGCCTTCTTGTCCAACATCAATGTCTGACCTCACAAATGTGCTTCTGGAAGAATGATCAAAAATTCCAATAAACACTCCCAAACCTTGTGGAAAGCCTTCCCAGAAGACTTGAAGGTGATATAGCTACAAAAATTTGACTGACACTATATTAAACCCAGTGGATTACAAAATGGATGCCACTCAAGTTCATATGCGTTTGAAGGTAGACACGGCAAAATATATACAGAAATGTTGCATATGGCACAGAAAGAAAGGCAAAACAGCAGAAATATAATTCCAAAGTATTTAAAATAAAAGCAGAACTTTAAAGAAAAACAAAATACAGTTTTAAAAAAATCAACAGTGAAGCTGCAAATCAATTTAAACGTAACATACAAGATGAGCTGGTTTTAAAGCTTTTTTTAACAAGTCTCGCTAAGGGGTCAAATGCACTCTAACTAAAGAGCACACCACCAAATATAAAAATGCTGCACACAAAACATATCATAAGCAGAAGTGGAAGTGTTCAGGAAACCACAATAACTGAGCCATGAAGTGTTTGACCACTACAGAGCAGGTGACTGAGTGCTGAGGTGCATAGTGGGTAAAAGTTTTGCTGACTTTATAACTGCAGAGCTCCAAAACTCCTTCCTCTTCTGTGCCTGAGCAGCTACTGTAGGTGTAATGTGCAGGTGGCCCAGCACCTTTATATTTACCTGATTGATTGCAGTTTTCATCTGAAAACCGTTGAGGAAGGGCTACTACTTTATTCCCATCTATTGTGGCCATTTTTGTCTACTACTGCTTTTGTCTATTTCTAATCTGATATTCACTAAAATTTTAAGTATTTAGTGTAAATTTTAGTTTAAAAATGAGAAAAAAGAGACTGATGCACCTTTGATTTTTTTTTTAGCTTTTTTTCCATTTAATCAATACAAACAATCCACTTGTGAAACACTGACGATGCTAAAGACAAGGATTTCATGCTCTGTGAACTTTTCCCAACCCAATTAAAAAACACTTGTACCCAATTAAGTGCATATCCATGAAGGACGAGAGGTGTGTGACAGGAAAATCTTTTGTTTTCAGAGGTCCTCCCTTTCCATCAGCACTGACGACAACATATTTGTCAGATCAGGCTGTGAACTCTTTGTCAGCATATGGGACCCCATAGGCTCCGAGGAGGTCTCCGCCACCCAGGCTGAACTATGGAAAAACATCTGCATCTAAATACTGACCTCAATCAGGCCTTTACGTAGCCTGACTGACACCTTAGTCTTCTGCGCTGCCCGACAGAGGCAACTGTGAGTTGGACTGAGTGAAAGAAGAAGCACCCTTGGTCGATCAGGGAGACCTATCAACACTCTTGAACTATAGAGAGAAGGCATGTAAAGCGCCATGTTACAGGGCCCCGGGGGCTCCTGTGAGAGGCATGAGAGGATTTTTCCTATGACCTCGAGCTCAGCCTGCAGATAGTAAACAAGTGGAAGAAGATGAGCTAATGTTTTGTTGGCGTGTGGATTGATACCACACTGCAACATATGCTCAGATGACATATTTAACTTTTGACTTAACGCCATTTTCCTTGGATGAACAATCCATGAAAAATTGCAAAAGAACCGGGCAACAAAGAAATACACCTGTCTGCACTACAGACGTTATGAATATGAAGACACATGTTTCCAGTGACCAACTGTGATAAGAGGAGCAGTTCAAACTTTATCTTTGATTGTTGTTTAAATGATTTGACATGGACCTTTTGGGATTTTTTTTTCCAGTCAAATCTTTTTCTTAAATGTTAGCTTAGTTACAGTGGGGAAATAATTATTTGATCCCCTGCTGAACAGTTTCATATTTTTATGGTAGGTTCATTTTACTGGAGAGAGACGGAATATCAACAAAAATTCCAGAAGAGACACACTCCCTAAAAGTTATAAACTGATTTACATGTCATGTATATAAAAGAATTTGAAACAAACTTGATGCTGGCGTCGGCTTGGTCAGTGGTAAATTGAGGTTTGTGCAAAAGAGCAGGAGGCTGAAATAATAAAATCCGTCATCATCGTTACCCGTTGCCCCTTGGGGGTTCTTAATCAAGATGACTGAGCTCTGTTCCCTATGTTGCTCCACATCCTGCTAAGGAAGCAATCAGGAAAAAGTGAGAACAGCCAACATCTACATTAACACACACTCTTTTAATAAACTCTGCAACACAGAATTTAGGTTTAAATGACAAATAATTAGAAATTGTAAGCAGCTGTAACTAAAATTTTCATTATGATACAGTTAGGATGGCCAGTCTCCCACTGTCTCTCCACTTTCCACAAACTGTTACTTAATTAATTCTCCCAAAATATCAACTAAACCCAATAAAAAATCCCTCCAAAAGAAATGTGTACGTCTTTCTCATTTAGCTTTCAGTATCCATCATTTATTGATACTGAAGCTGGAATTGTGCCTAAGGCTCATTAAACTCCTGGTCTCTCGGAGTCTTTTGATTTTTAAACACTCCCCAAACATACTTCCATCATATAGCAGGAAATATGTTATCATCCAAAGTCCCATGTAAGTGTTTACATCAGGTTAAAAGAAATCTAAATCTACAAAAGCCCTTGATCTACATTCACATATGTTGTTCCCACATCTGACAATTCATTCCTTCCCTTTTAATTTAATTACATTTAGACTCCGTTCAGTATTGAATTTCATTTGTATGGTAGCAGTTCACAAAACAGTCACCTGAAAGCGCTTTTTAGATTGGAGTGTAAACACCTCACCACATGAGAGAGAAAACCCCAAGAATCAAAGAATTCCCAAAAAGCAAGCAGTTTGGTGAAAGTGGGAAGGAAAAACTGCCTTATAACAGGAAGAACCATTCAAAAGCAGAACAACCATGGAGAGAAGACCGCATTGAACGACACACAGTCGTGGCATATGGACACTATGGACATATGTAGCTGCCAGAGCTGAAAGCACCTCGCAGAATCATGATTATATATTTAAAATTTATATTCGGCACATTTTCTGGGGCTGTGCGGTGATCCTCACAAAAACCAAGAGGGAGGCTGAATGATGATGAATCATGTTTTACATTTCCATCGCCCTCTCTCTCCACCTCCTTCTCTCCTTGGACATAACCTCTCTTTCTCTCTCTCTGCCCTCCACCTCACCTCTCTGCTACCCTTCCCTCTCTTAGTCACCGCGTGGATGTGTCATTGTTTCTAACACTTCGGAGGTTCATGCCTGCTGAAGCGCATCGAGGAGATCTCCAGAGTGCCAAAAGCGTGCCAAGATACAACTTTACCCTCCCCTCTACACAACACCTCCACCTCCTCATTCCCGACGGATGGCACCGCTGACACTCTCCACAGCCAAGTCTGTGGGCCACATGACGGTGCAAGCCACACCTCCACGCCATGGTCATGAACCCTCAAAGCATATAAATGAGGGAAGAAAAGGAGAAGAGGAATCACAAGCTGACCAGACGTGATAAAGATGGAGCTCTCCAGGGTTCACTTGTTGCTTGGAGCCGTAGGGTTTCTTCTGTGGACCAGCGGTGGCTCTGCTGCACCCATGGAGTGCCACTTCAGCTCCAGAGGTGAGATCCAATTGTTTATAACCCTTTTTAAAAAAAAACCCAAACATTTACCTTTAAAAAAACCCCATCAGTTTATAAAAAAATGTATTATTTTGAGCTCTTCCCCCCACCATGTGTTCGTCCAGCTCTGTGTGTGTACGAGGGGAGGCACTACTCACTGGGTGAAACCTGGATGGACAACGCTTGCATGCAATGCACCTGTCTGCACCCTGTTGGGGTCGGTTGCTGTGAGACGTGAGTACACAAACAGACGGTGTGATTTGGTGTCCAGATGCCAACATTTTCTAAACCGCATGGTTTAAAGAGACTGAGTGACTTTGTTTTCATGGTGGAACAGCAGTTTCACCAGATATTTTGCTTAAGAATAAAGAAAGTGGCCACAAATGTTGTTAGTCTGCAGCAATCTTTTCTGTGTGTTTTTTTTTTACTGATATTATTCTAGTGTTACTATTGTAAATCACAGGTGGCTGCGCCTTACTTTGCAGATACTTTTAAATATTTTAGGTAATGCTTTAGAAGCCAAATATGGTAATATTTAATGTTTCTAATTACATTTTATCCCAACTTTTATAAGCTTCTGTTTTTTTTTTCAATAAAACAAATTACATGTTTTCATTTGGGCACATAAAAATATTCAGATTTGACAAAGTGTTTCGAGTTTTCTGTGGGTACCCAAAAAAATATCCCAGGGCTGTAGCAAGAATGTCACTAACCTGTGCAATCTCTGACTCAAACACACATAGATATGTACATATCTATGTTTTTAGATTCAATTTTTACTCTATACTTTGTTAGAAACTCTTTATTTTTGTATTTTATGAGTACTTCGATTGCTTTCTTTGTACTGAATGGGACCGCATATAATATCGTTGTGCTTTTGGCAAAAATAACAATAAAAATGAGATTCTGATTCTGAAAAAGTTTACATTTTAAAGCGTGAAGTGAGAAGTGCAAAGAAGGTTTGACACGCTTTACCTTCCTTTTAATTACTGCCCAGAGTGCATCGGCCGGTGGATTTCCCCGCATGGTGTGAAGTGCAGGTGGAGCCAGTGACCTGCAAAGTGTCTCTAGTCCAGTCAGCTGACCCCCGCCTGCCCTGCTCCCCGGGTCAAGCGAACAAGGACCCGAGCCATGGATCGCTTCAGCTGCAGCAGCATCTCGAAGGCTGGAACGCAACTAGCACTGAGTAACTCTGCCGCCACTCTGCCTGCCCATGGAGCCGATACTCATTACAGTTAGATATCCATAACCATTACTCATCTTCAGTATATGAATTATTCATGTAGGGAATATGATGCTTAGCAATTTTTAAGCAAATGTGCAGCAATTTACACAAAATAATTTGAAGTCTTAACAGATGTAGAAAATATAGGTCCCTGCCTGCTTTAGAAGCATTTCAATTTCTGTTTACGCTTATATCAGTTAGCAACTTGTCTAATCCCAGCTGAGCTTCTTATGAAACTCCTTTTAAGTTTACAGGATTTTAAAATGCTAAATAACATCAAACCGTTAAGTGTTTCTTTGTTCAAAGATCCTGATATTAATCCAACTGCTATCTTTAATTAACCCACTGATGACATTCTGTAAATATATAAATGTACTTTAATATAAATGTCTGTTCAGTTTGACCTGTTTGCTGCTGTAACTCATTTAACCTCCAAATAAAAGTGTTGTTTACATGAAGAAATGACAGAGATTTAAGTCACGCTTTTAATTTTCTCTTACATCTTGATTGAGCGTTTTGCTCCAGATGAAAGAAAAAGCTCTGATTAACCATCGGAGGAGAGTCTTTGTTCTTGAAATGTGCATCTACATCTCTCTCTCTCACACACACACACACACACACAAACACCGACACACACACACACACACACACACACAGACACACACAGACACACACACACACACACACTCACACACACACACACACACACACACACACACACAGCACACACACACACACACACACACACACACACACTACACACACACACGTTAAATGGTAATGGTGTTGGTCCCTGTAAACTGGGACACGTAGGAAGCCAAAGCCGGGTTGGTGGGCAGGACTTTGATCGGTAGATTCCAGCTGAAGGTGTCCACATCCACATGCTCCGCCCCAGCCCACACTGTGACCTCTGATTGGTTCTGCAGGACAGTGGGCGGTTCCATAGGCTCCCGGGCAGTAACGAATTCAAAGTGCAGGCGCCACCTCAGGGTCACTAAATAAACAAAAGAGCTGGATTAAGTAATTTTCTTTTCATATACATTCTATGAAAAGTACCTAGGTTTATGTGTAGATGTTCCCGGTCGTGTCCTTTTTTACTCTTTTGCCGGCACGTTCCTACATTTCTTAGTGTGCAGCCACAAGGAAAAATAAGGAATGCTCGTCACCCACATGCTTGTAAAACTTTCCATATTAATAGGTGTGAATCATTTTTATTAAAATTTAGTCACTGCCTTAAGGCACTGTAAACCCACACTGGTTTTTGTGTCCTTCTCTTCTGTGGTTAGCACATTGAGTTTACGTGTAATTGATATTGTCATTATCCAGGTTCAGACTACACAGCATCAGCCCGATTATGACTCAGCCCAGCTTACACAGGGTGTTGTTTTGGTTCAGAAACAAAATGTGCATCGTGCATAACAGCTGATCATTTTATCCTGCACTCCATCAAATAATGGATGAAAACTCACACTTCATCTGGGAAGCCTGGCCGGTACTTTAATAAAAACGTTAAAATACTGCCTTGGAACATCTGCTACAAATTATGAGTGAGAAGTAAGTAAGAAGCATTGGGTGAAGTTTAGCCCCTTTATCTTAAAAACATTAAATTTTACAAGTATTAGAATTTATTATAATCTTTGGCTGTCATACATAAATATGAATATTTTGAAAACTACATACGAAAATGATGGAGAACATCTATTTGATATGGCTAACACAAACTCACGCTTTCTGAAAGAGGTTAATATGGGTTTAGGATGTGGTGTCATACCAGGGGAATATCGTATTCGATTTAGATGAAACTTTCTTATTCAAACTTTAATATTTATGAAATCCTTGGCCTGCATTTGTATAGCGCTTTTCTAGTCCCTAAGGACCCCAAAGCACTTCACACTACATTCAGTCATTCACCCATTCACACACACATTCACACACTGGCGATGGCAAGCTACATTGTAGTCACAGCTGCAATGTATTTATGAAATCCTTTACTTATTTTGAATCATATTTTGTGCCTTGCATATGAGAAGCTACAATATCTAAGTCCTCTACCTGCAAAACTATGCTTCTACAGGCCTGTGCTGCAGAATCTGCTGTCAGCAATAGGACATTCATTCTATCTGAACTTCATCCACACTACTGAGAGTCTATATGGAGCCATAGTACAGACACTCAGAAAAGTTTGAAGGACTTTTCAAGATTATGTCATTTTTAGATGCCTTCTGAAAATGTATGCAAGGAAAACATCTAAAAACATCCTGATATTCATCGCTTGAATTTTTTTTTAGAAAACTAATGATAGTAGGAACCTGGAATTGTGCTTAGCTTATATAGGCAATTGATGAACTATGCCTACTTAGTTTGTATGACACTGATCTACAAGTAATTGTTGAGATATGATTGAGCCGTGAGTCAGACATAATTCAGCTTGAGTGACTTACCAATGTCTCTGCTGAAACCCGGCGTGACATTCAGGGGTATGGGAAGAGAGAAGTGGCTGAAGGCCGTGTGGAGGCAAGACTCCAGATGTCGCCCGTGTCCAGTCACACTGGGAGTTTGTCCTGGTCTACGCTGGTACTGCTGCTGGATCTCCTCCTCACTCTGAAGGCTCACTGAATACTGAAACACACACACACACACACACACACACAGCTTTAATTCAAAGGGTGACTGAATTGGAAAGTGCATCGTATGAAAATTGTAGAGCAAACACACCTGCAGGCAGGGAATGTCTCCCTCTGAGAAGTTAAACGTGCCGATGATGTCCTCCCCGAGTCTGTAAACAGTCTTAAAGATGCAGAACTTTGCTACTTTCCCACGCATGTTGGTGATATTAAACATATCTGGAAAAAACAAAGACACACACATCAGATGTGGAGACACAAAAAGAATCTGCTGCTTTTATTTTTGCCTTTCAGGTACCAAATGAAGCCACCATTTTATAGATGTACACGCTTATGTGAATGTAACAACTAAAATAGTGAGAAAACATTTTGATTTGTCAAAATGTCCCCAAAGAAAAAAGGGGTGATGCTTACGTTAAAAACAATTTGCACAAACTAGAGTTTAAACTCCAGCAAAGAGCAGAAGGGCAGAGAATCCGACTCACGGGGGTAGCGCCTCGAGGTGGTGACCATTAACATGTCCAGTGCTCTCTCCAAAGGCCGAGAGTCCCTGCGGCTCACTTCCTCTTCCTCCAGGAAAGGGTTGGAGGGGCAAACCTCTTCATCCTGGGGAAATGGAGGCTCTGGCATGCCTATGTGGGTACATGCAAAAAACACCAACATCAGATAAAAGATTCTCATTTTTTAAAGTCAATTTTCTTGGCAACGTTTTAAGTACTTTCTATAAAGCAAAGAGCTCTGGTAACTGTGACATAATCAGACTCTTTTTGCTGTCCAGAGAAAAATGAAAATCTACATGCCTGGTTAAGAGACCACAACAAAAGTTTATATCCACAGTATTTTTTTTGCCAATACTTCTCTGGTTTTGCTGTCGTTCTAATATTATACTACAGCCGAAGCAAAGATCTTTCAACCCCTGTTTCTCTGTGGCTACAACTGTAAAATGAAAGCCAGAGTCGGTCAAAAGTCCATTCACCTTGCAGAACCAACACTCTAAAGGGAACACGAAGTAGCTTGATGGGCGAGTTGACCCTTTGACAGCCAATGGTCAGTTTGTAGACATACTTCACCGCCTGACCACGGAAACTGGGAGGCCCATCAATGGGAACAACCTCACTGTATGAGTCTGTGAAAGAATGACAATGTTTGCCAGACTGTCTTCTGAGTCTCACACACACAAATGAAATAATGCTATGTATGGGAAACCATCTAGAAACCTCATCATTATTGTGTTAAGTGTTTCATTCTTTAACAGCAGTGTAGATATTTCACTTCACATTATTGTTAACTTTTTTCCACAAATGTAAAGACATGTACATGTTTTACTCTCTCCAGGGTCCAGGCGCAGGTCACAGAATAATATCTTAGGAGGAGTGTCCAGCACACACTGCCCTCGTTCTCCTGGAGAACAAAGCAGGAGATGTTAAATGTATTACACACTAAGAAAGCTATGGAAAAAAGGCTACTAATATGTTGCTACTTTTCATTGTGTGTGAAGACTGTGTGTGAAATTTATCCAGTATTGGGGATGTTCTTTTTTAAATTCACCTTGTGAACCTTGCATAGCTGTAAGGCAGTTGGATGTATGACCCATACATCCACTGAAGTGGTGTCATTATGCAAATGTACTGTTTATAAGATTAGGGAAACCTAGATAAGTTTATACTATTTCTGCCAGTCTTAGATTTCATATTTTATTTCTTACCTCTGCTTGGGATGAGCACAGTCTCGCTCTCAGCCTGGACATCCTGTTTGTTGCCCTGAGCCGGCAAGGCTACTCTGTTCTCACTTGCATGAAACTGACAGTGGATCTGGGCACTGGCCCATGCCAGCATCTCACTGGAACAAAAATCAGAATCAGACAACAAGGCTTACACAAGGGTACAATTATTTCAGTGTCCTCTGTGTTACAGTCTACCAACAACACCAGGTCACAAGACACCATATAAATCCTAAAAACTGTGTTAAAAGAAGTGAAATAAAAAACCCCAACTCCTTCCTGTTTTAGCTGCTCCGTTTACAGGTTACCACAGTGGATCACCCGCCGCCACCTCCCCCCATCTCCAGGATCCTCTGTTAACCCAACCCTCCTCCTTCACTACATCCATGAATCTCCTCTAAGGTCTTCCTCTTTTCCACCTGCCTGGGTGGATGGTTGATCCCAGGAATTTAAGCTCCTTCACTCACCTGTCTCCTTATATGTTCGCTTTTCCATCTGTCTCCCTCTCATTCACACACATGCATTTTGTCTTGCTTCTACTGACTTTCATTCTTCTTCCCTCCAGTGCATACCACCACCTCAGTACTCAGGGACTCTTGCCTGACCAACACCACTGCAAATAAGAAGGGCACAGAGAAGATCCCTGTTGTAATCCTACCCCTACCTTGAATCCATCTGTCTCTCCTACTGCACACCTCACCACTGTTTTGCTGTCCTCATATATTTCACCACCATCGCACGCTTTTTCTAGATCCTTCCAGAAGACGTGTAAATCCTTCTAACCTTCTCTATACTTCCCAAGGAAATAAAGAAATCATTTAGATTACAAAATATTCTAACAGCAGGATATCAGAAACGTGTTATTATTAAGAATCCTTTTCTGTAAATCTTGCCAAAACAAAACCTACTCTAATTAAAAGCCCGCATATTAACACACGACAGTCAAAACAAAGAATAACACATGGCTGATATTCCCTTATTTTCAATCTCATTGAACAAGGAGCAAACTTGTAAAATCCTACCTGCTCGCCGAGGTGGAAAGATGAGATATCGGGTTGGTGAAAGTTACAAGACACTCCATGAGCTCCCCGGCCAGAAACACTGAGCCTCGGGCCATAGAGGCCACAACCTCGATCATCTATAACGTTACGAACCGACAACGCTACGTTAGAAAATGAAAAACGTAAACGATAATATCGTGAGCACATTGCAGTTCTATCTGATGTACTTTTTTGTCGTTACAGTTTGACCTACATACAGCCAGTATGAATTTCACTTGTTGGCCCTCTTTGCTAATGACTGTAGTTTTAAGGACAAGTTTATCACATACCTTCACTTCACGCGATACTGCGGCAAAGCAAATACGCAATGTTATCCCCGAAGAAACCTAAATACACTTCTTGAATAAAAGTATACCAAATTTCTCAATTCATGCCAATCCGAGCATAGCTTACTTAGCTAGCATTCCAGCTGGCTACAGTAAACAAAAAAAAATACGTAGACATTCTGTTTCCGGTGCTGTTTTACCAATCACGAACAACGGGAAATGGAAATAAGACTAATAACAAATAAGAATATATATACATATATTTTTCCTTTCGTACGATATTTTAAGATTACCTTTAAAATAATACCTTATTTAAAATTTTGATATATAAAAAAATATAGTAAGCGAGTGTGTGATGTTGCTATGGTAACATATACGGAAGGGGTAAACTCAGTGATTACAAAGAATCTTTGATTTGTAGAATTTATGTTGAAAGTTTTAAATTAAGACAGACAAAAACTTTTGAATATTCTGTTGAATTTCATATTCACAGTATACCATGCATACAGTGTCAAGTAGAACTTAAATGAATGGTTGAAGACCAGAATGACTCCACCTCCCCTTTTCCGTCTAAATGGTATGGTCTCCACCGGAGGCTTTTTTTTTTTTTGCTTGCACTCTCGTTCTCCTACTATACCCAGAGTTGCTTTGTCAGGCATCATTAACTGCTATTTATTACTCCGTGTAATCGTAACAGTTAACGCTAATAAAAAGTTAGTGCTCTGATTGAAGCTTGGCGCTATCGAGTTTATAAAAAGGGGCGCTATCAGAACGTGGCTTGAGAATATTGATGCCTGATAGACAACGAAAGGGGCAAAGGTTTCTCGATATCTAAGACAGGCAAAAAGGTTTTGCATACTGGGCGCCGAGCTAGCAGAAGCTACAGGCACTTCACTGAGATCCGCTCGAGTCTGGATATGGATAACGCTGTCCCTCTGGCATTTTCAAACTCATTTTTATGCGTCTCTTGCTCTTAGAAGCGGGCTAACTTGTAAAGTCGCATTCTGTTGCACGGCTTTAAAGCAAAGAGGCGTTCCGTGGTCACCGTTTAAGGTGCGATTATATTGTGTGTTTTCGGCTTTGCAGCTAACCGGCTGTTACTTGATGTTGGCCCCCTGAATGTGCACAGTGTAAATGTGATTGCCGCATTTTAACCATTGCTTTTTGTTCTGTTCTTAGGTGTTCCGGCTAAAAAATTCTGCTGGTATTTCGCCGTCAGCTATCCATCCACCCATCCGTCGGTGCTGACAGCTGCGTATCCACATCCGGACTCAGTGCTGAGGAGTGGGTGGGGAGGGGGTCGACCAAAACAGAAATCAAAGGGTGGGGGTTGCATCAAGACGCCCATGAGGATATGAAAACACTGGATGAATGCTACAACTAAAGAATGGCACAGGAACTTCCAACTTAAATTTGGATTCATTCATTGAGCAAGCCTTAAGAGCTTATCAGTGGAGAACAGGTTTAACCCACTGGAATGACGCTTTTATTACTCCTGAAACCTGTGACTGACTACCACATTAGTGGTTTTGGTCCGTGGTGAGGGCACTGTAAGCTGGCTCTGGCTACAATAGTTGTTGGCAACTCCCTGCTTGTAAGTGTTTCAAGACCTGAAGTTTCATTGTCATTGTTTAAAAGTCTGCAAAATGACTTCAGAGTGGAGTGAGAAATCCACAGCAGACCTCATGAGCAGGTATGTCTCCAAGGAAATGGGATACAATGTGCCCAAGGAAGGTTGGCGTATCTGTCTGGCGCACGAGTTCAAGGAGAAGAGAAAGCCCTTTCAAGCAAAAGACGTCTCTCTGGCCAACATCTGGGGGCATATCGGCCTTGGAGTCAGGTTAGATCTTTTTCTCAGCACACCCTGCCTGCTTCATGTTACACCTCAATGCAGCCAGCCTTTTTACTATTCACTTTACAATATTCATGTTAACATGGTGGAGAGCCATGGGAGGCATCAGACTATAGTGTCACGTTTCTCAGATCACACCTGAGCGCAAGCCTGCAAGTGCAGTGTTGACCTGAAAATGTTACATCAAGACGGCCAGCTGCAGGAGTCCATTTTTTTAGTTTCTTCTGCAGTGCTCCCAGCCCATCAGTTTAGTTTACTCTGGAGCAAAATCCCAAATGATGCTCACAAAAATCTTATTTACATAAGTTGAACTTTTTTGTTGCAATACATACAAGTTCAGCAGTAATGCAAAATGTTCTAAGGGTTTCCTGTGTTAATAAATATAGTAGTTAAACCTCTTTTCCTATGGTCTGTCAACTCTGGTTCCAGGTCAGTGCCAAGTTCAAAGTGCATGTCATTTATGGCTCTTTGACTTTAAAACCTCTGCAGCAATAAAGGCAGCGAGCGAGGTTAAGCATTCACCATCCCACAAACATGATCTTAATGCTCTTAATGTTGCCTCCACCTAGAGAGAAATATCCAGCCTGGCCTTCAACGCCTGTAGTGACTGTTTTTTCTGAAACCTGCTGATATCTGAGATGCAAAGTAGTACATTCTGCAGCTTTAGTGGACTGTACAGCCAGCTGTGGTACTGTTTAAATCCTGACAATGTGCCTTGACGAAGGAGTACGTGTCTGTCAGAGTGACTCTGCGAGGCTCACCAGTCATTAGGACTGCTCCTTGACTTGGGAAAGAAAAGAAAAGCTAGCTAGTTTCCCTACAACTTAATTGGCACACTGTGTGACACAGTGGACTGTTTTTCAGACTCACTGTGGAAAAGATGCCCGTTTGAGCTCACACAGCTTAGGTTGAGGTTCACAGACTGGTCTGCATTCATAGATCTGCACCAGAGTCTGGCCATTGTTTGCTTTTGTACAGAATAACAAAATCCTGACAATGGCCTACCCTGCTGTAGCTTCAAATAACATGGTTTAACGAATCCTTTTCACCCTGACTGGAGCTGTATTGATAGACCATTGTTCTACCTCTGGTTTGAACTCTGCTCTGAAGTTATTGTTTGGAACTACACTGTCATGCACAGCAGTTCTGCTGTTGCACAGGATCTTCCTCACAGCAAGTAGAAAGCTCTCTGTGGCTGAAACCTTAACAATAATTCTGGTCTGTTTCCTATTTTAATGCTGCACAAGTGTTGTTTGTAATTCAATTAAAATGTATTCATATAGCTCACCTGACTGCAAACAATAACCGCAGATGGTTGCCCCTCCCTGAGCCTGGCTCTGCCCGAGGTTTCTTCCTGATAAAGAAAAGAGTTTTTTTCTCCCCACTGTTAGATAAGATAAGAAAAAAACCTTTTGTCATGTGCAGTATTACTAGGGCTGCTCAATTAATCGAATTTTAATCACGATTACGATCTGGGCTTTCAACGATCATTAAAAATGACTGAGCCGATTATTAGCCCCTCCCTCATTTATCCGCGACACCTTAAAGGCCGGTCCGTGAAAATATTGTCGGGCATAAACCGGTCCGTGGCGCAAAAAAGGTTGGAGACCGCTGATTAAGAGGACCCGAGGGAAGCTCGGAAAGCTAAGCAGAAGTTATTTGGAGAGTGACTGCCGTTGGTTGAAAAGAGAGTTTAAAAAAAAACTTCAGTGGTGTTGCACACTATTTTATATTATTTTTTTAAAGTCATTGTTAACCCTTTAAAGCCGGTCAGAGCAGCACGCTCCGTTTTGCGTAACTATTTTTAAATCCCTGTAGAACCTGAACCGTGTAAGCTAGCGCAATAATTTGTTTTGCATATGAAACCGGAGGAGTTGTACTTACATCTGATGCCATCAGCTTGTCCTCGGTCACGGTTTCGTTCCACATATAGCTTTGCAAAAATTGCATAAAAAGCGCTTGCAGGAACAAAAACATAATATTCCAGAAACACGCTTTGCCGTTCCTATCAGCTGTTCGTAACACTTCCCACAGTGAAATGATGCACCTGCTGTTTTCTTTGCAAATTTGCATCATAGGATTGTTTTTTGTTTTTCCTGCAGTATATAAAAATTGCTGTATCTCCAAAATAAAACTATGAAGACACTCAAAATAAATTTCCTGTGGTGGGAAACTATTTTTTGCAACTTTATTGTATTTAAAGTTTTGAGGGATAAACCTCTTAAATTTCTCCAAGTAGAAATATATGTAAACAAAACAAAAGACGATTTTCAATTTTTTTTGTAGTTTATTGCACTTTTTTGCAATTATGTAATTACTATGGACTTAATGCATACATATTATTAAAATATGGGCTATAACAGTTGTATTGATGTATAGCAACTTGAAATGCTCCCACAAATGGCACTACACATGTAAAAAAATAATATAAGCTCTGGTGGACTTGGTTCTATAGTAGGTCTTAAAGGGTTAAATAAATATCGTCAAATAATCGAGATCTCAATTTCAGTGAAAATAATCGTGATTATCATTTTTGCCATAATCGAGCAGCTCATACATAGTACAGTAGTACAATGAAATTGGAAAAACTGTCCTACGTCGGCACTACATATAACACAACACGACACGATATGACACATCACAACGTAACAAACAACACAACACAGTATATTAACTTAGTATAAAAAAGAAGAATAAGTGTATGTGTATTGCACACTGTTATTATTGCACATTAATTATTATTGCACCTTGTTATAAATATAAATATTATTGTTATCGTTTTAAACATTGTTACCTCCCCCTAAAAAGTCCAGGGAGGTATCCAGTCAGGTCAGCTATTTACATTGATCAGGGCTATTGCCCTGTTGTAAAAGCTGTCCTTGAGTCTATTTGTTCGGGACCTCAGCAGCCTGAACCTCCTGCCAGACGGCAGCAGCTTAAACACCCGGTGTCCTGGGTGTGTGCAGTCCCGTAGGATGCTGCGTGCCCTCTTGAGACAGCGAGTGCTGTACAGGTCCTTCAGGGAGGGAAGAGGATGTCCAATGATTTTTTGGGCCATGTTGATGACCCTCTGGAGTGCCTTTCTGTGTGCTGTGGTGCAGCTGGAGAACCACACACCGATGCAATATGTCAGCACACTTTCAATGGAGCAGCGGTAGAAGACGGTCAGCAGCTCCTTCTTCAGGTCCATTTTTCTGAGGATTCTCAGAAAGTGGAGACGCTGTTGGGCCTTCTTTAAGACCGCAGAGGTGTTAGAGCTCCATTGGAGGTCTGTGTCTATGTGCACACCCAGAAACTTGAAACTGGAGACCCTTTCCACGCACTCCCCGTTGATGCTGACAGGCTGCAGCTCGGACTTCCTCCTTCTGAAGTCAACTACCAGTTCTTTTGTTTTGGTGGTATTGAGGTCCAGGTTGTTATCTGCACACCAATCTGACAGCCTCTGAACTTCAGCTCTGTATGCAGTCTCATCTCCCCCTGAGATGAGCCCCACCACGGTGGTATCATCTGCAAACTTGATGACTGTGTTGTCTGGGTGGGAACTAACACAGTCATGTGTGTACAGAGTGTACAGTAGGGGACTCAGTACACAGCCTTGTGGAGAGCCGGTGTTGAGGCTGAGGGCTGAGGAAAGATGAGGCCCCACTCTAACTCTCTGTACACGGTCTGAGAGGAAGTCTCTGATCCAGCGGCAGGTGGTGGAAGGAAGTCCAATTTCCAGCAGTTTATCTATTAGTCTGTCCGGGAGTATCGTATTGAAAGCAGAGCTAAAGTCAACAAAGAGCAGCCTGGCGTAACGGCCCTGCACTTCCAGGTGAGAGATGGTGGTGTGGAGCGTTGTAGCAATGGCATCTTCAGTTGATCTGTTAGCTCTGTATGCAAACTGGAGCGGGTCGAGTGTGGGTGGCAGGCAGGACATGATGTGACGTCGGACCAGTTTCTCAAAGCACTTCATTATAACAGGTGTTAGAGCAACTGGTCGGTAGTCGTTGAGGCTGCTAATGTTAGTACGCTTTGGCAGTGGGACAATTGTGGCTGACTTTAGGCACGGCGGGATGCAGGACTGGGACAGTGAAGTGTTGAAGATCTTAGTGAAGACCCCAGCCAGATGGTCTGCACTCTTTTAGGACCTTTGCGGTTACCCCATCTGGTCCGGCGGCCTTCCTGGGGTTCACTGCCCTCAGTGTGCGCCTCACCTCATATTCCTGCACTATGAGGCTTGGGCTGCTGCTGCTGTCCGATGTTTTTGCTGCTGCTGCCTCTGGTCCCTTCACCTCAAAGCGTGCGAAGAAGTGGTTCAGCTCCTCTGCAAGCTCTGCGTTACCCTCAGTCAACGTGGTATTGCCAGGTTTGTAGTTGGTTAAGTGCTGAACTCCCTGCCATACCTGTCGTGAGTTTTTGGTGCTGAAGTGGTCTTCAATCCTTCTCTTGTACGCTGCCTTGGCCTCTCTGATGCCTCTTTTCAACTCAGATCTGGCTGCACTGTACTGCATACCATCACCGGATCTAAAAGCGGTGTCACGTTGCTTCAGCAGGACCTGGACCTCTTTAGTCATCCAGGGTTTCTGGTTGGAATACACCCGGAGACGTTTGTCCACAGTGACACTGTTGACACAGAAGTTAATATATGAGAGCACTGATGTTGTGTGCTCTTTAAGGTCCTGATGTTCGAACACGCTCCAGTCCGTGTTTTCAAAACAGTCCTGTTGCCAAAGTACTTGCTCATAGGAGTTCATATGATTTTTTTTTGATTTTTTTTTGTTATCGTAGTCTTTACCTTAAAGTATAACTCGCCTGTTGAGGCAACTGTTGCTGTGATTTAGCTTTATATAAATAAAATGGAATTGAAATGGAACGGGCTCAGCGGGGCAGTCATTTGCTGCGACCATTTGGGCTGAGGGGAGGGAGACAGAAGAAAAGACACACACTGTGGAAAATGATTTTAAATGAACAACTTCCTATATTAAAGACCACCTAAACTGACATCATAACGATGTAAAACATTAACCTTTATGACAAAAAACTGAGGTGGTCTTTTGTGCTAAAAAACTCATATTTGCAACTTGTGTGACATCCCATCATCGGGGTCTCTGCGGCTCACCACCTTGGCTTAAAAAAGGTATTCTTTGATGACTGCCACTGCAGATGCCTATATCTCAAACAACATAAAAGACTCAGCCAGGGTGCTACTTTGCTGATTGCTGTCTTCCCCTCAGAGAGGGTTCTGTGCTCAGGCATCCAAATAGAGAAGCCAATAAAATGTAACAAATTGCAGCGTGTACAGAGTTGATCACAGAGTCACTGGTTTTGTTCAGCAACCCGTCAGCTTGCTGCAGATTTATCATGGTCATTTCCCCAAAGCTCTTCAAAGACCCTTCAAGAACACTCGAGGCTCAAAAGTCTTGACTTTTAAAATAAAAGCATAAAAACCCACTGTGCATTAAGAAAATGAGCTAAAAGCCAGAGACCGTAAATAAAGATGTCTTAGCTGTAAATGTATGTTAAATGTAACGAAGGCTCGTGCTAAACAAACAGTCTTGTGCTATAGATCTTAGATCAGAGTGCAAACAGATTAATGACTCAACTCTCAGGCTCTGAAAGCAGTTTGAATTCTTTTGTAACGTGGCCTAATTATTTGACAATGTATTCTTGCTTGAAAGGAAGTGCGGGGCCCACCCACACATTTACACATGCTAGAATCCAACTGTTAATGTGACCAAGATCAAAGCAGACTTGTCACTTCGACTACCTTTGCAGGCACTTCCGTTAAGCAGTTGCACAACTCTCTTTTTTTCTCACAGCATGCTGGTGTGTGCAAATTGTTTGATTCAGCTTTGGCTGAAAAGGTGCCTTTAACACAAAAACAAACGAGCAAGGAGAAAAGGCGTGCTCATGTGACTGACCTGGTAATTTTCTAAATCTCTGATTGTTAAAGCATTCCCAATCAATGCTCTTCAACAAAACCAGATCAGTGTCTCAGTATTTCTAGATATTCCTGTTGCTTGTGTTCATCCAGGTATCTAAAGTTTTGGTACAAGAAGACGCAGGTGGAAAAGAAGGCTCCGTTCATTGATATGTTTGGTGCCCAACCCTTACGCCAAATCTACGGTGAGTGTTTTTACAGACTGAGGCTCAAATTTTTTTTGCAACTTTTTTTATGATAAATCTTAACATAAAACACAGTTCTGTTTACTTTAAATATAATCATGATCAATAGTGTGCAAACAAATTGGGATCATTGAGAACCTGTTGAAGTCTCACAGTAGGAAATACTTTGCAACCTCACAGAGAGCGACCAGTGTGTTTGTAGACTTTCCTGTCATGCTGCTTAGGATTATGCAGTTTTTGCAATGTTGACTCTGTTCTCTGATTTACAGGTGCTCCACTTGGCGGCATTGGAGGAGGTACCATCACAAGAGGTTGGAGGGGGGAGTTCTGCAGATGGCAACTTAATCCTGGGATGTACCACTACAAAACAGTCATACCCAATCAGGTGATTACAGTGGCTGACATGACAGGATGAATTCTGTAATGAACTGAAAAAACAAATTGGATTACAATGCATTTTTGTTTCTTTGGAAGTCAGAAAATAATTTCCTCCTATTGCTGGCAGAGTCTGTTTACAAATAAGTACCTGCTTATCAGCTGGTGTAGATATCATAAAAACATAAAAAGCTGTACAATCCATTTTCTCATGCAGTAACTACATTGAGCTAGAATGTTTTGAGAGAGGGTGTGACTCCACGGTACTGGAACAACCCGCACACGTGTTTTTATTGTCACGAACACTATTGTTGTCTTCATCTCGGTGTGCAAATGGCAGCTGGGAGCACTTTCGCCTTGAGAAATATCACAATGTAGAATGACAAGACAGACAAAGTAAGCACTTCCTTGCTTAGATGACATGAGAAAAATATTTGAGCTGTAACTTCAGTGGTCACTGGGAAACAAACTGCACTCGTAGAATCAGTCAAACCTGATTTTAAAAATGCTTAAAAGGTTTGGTGTGTTTGCTCCAGGTTTTAAAAGCTTCTCATCAAGACTTTATGGCTTTACTAATAGCTCACATTTGGGCATCTCTGGCTAATGCCTACAACACTGAACAAACTGAGTTTTTTTTTTTGTAATGACTGTGCAAATGTTTTGTCTCCAAAGACATACCATAAAACGATTATCTGTCAACATGTCCCTCTTCTCATTTTTCTGTGTTCACAGTTCACTGTGTGTTTGCGTCGTGAAGGAAAAACTGTTTACCAGCAGGTGTTATCTGTAGAGCGTCCACCTACATTACAAGGCTGGAACTGGGGCTACTGCGGGGAGTACGCCTTCTATCACGCCTTGTATCCTCGCGCCTGGACGGTTTATGACCTGCCAGGACAGAACGTCACCCTGACCTGCAGACAGATTTCCCCAGTCATCCCTCATGATTATCAGGTAACCTACAGTTGAACTCCCTCCTTTATTGTACTCAATTTGTAATTTTTACAAGGTAAAAAGCTGGTAAACTGCCGTTAAAGTGCTTAAAAAAAAGTCCACTATTACCCAACAAATCAAGTACACCAGCGGTCCCCAACCCCCGGGCCACAGGCCGGTACCAGTCCGTGAGTTGTTTGGTACTGGGCCGCGAGACTTGAGACTCACGTTGGAAATTTATGGTTTTCAGAGTTTTTACCGTTAACTCTGTTTCCCTCGGTCTTTCCTGTGTTGTAGTTGTGTGCCTTATTTTGAAATAAATATTTACACGATACCATAGCGACCAGAGAGCATTAAGGCTCAGAGAAGAGGATGTTACTCTCAGTGTTGTTGGTGTGTTTCAGGAGGACGCTGCTAATAAAGTTACACAATTACACAGTGAATTTGTGCTTATTAGTATATTTACAAAATACAGTTTTTATCTTGGGCGTATCATTTTATTTTGTTGTATTTAACTGCGACACCTTAAAGGCCCGTCCGTAAACCGGTCCGTGGCACAAAAAAGCTTGGGGACTGCTGAACTACACCATACCACACCACGGTATTTATAAAAAAAACAAAACAGGGATGATCACCGGTGCTGCACAGTGAAACCACGCATAAAAAGACGGATGAACAGGATGTTCATTAGCAGATTATATGTTCTAATAAGGAATAATACTGATGTTTCCCAAGAACTTCTTAGTAGTAGATTTTCTGTAGTTTCTGTACTTTATCTTATTCGTTTTTAGCTCCTGTAATTACAAATGTTTACCCTATCATTCATTTTAGAGGACATTTACATGTTAGTTTTATAAAGGTTAACTCATCATCTACATCTACATCCTCTCAGGACTCAAGTCTCCCAGTTGCAGTATTGGTGTGGGACATAGAGAACAAGAACGAGTACGATCTTGATGTCTCGATTATGTTTACCATGGTCAACGGATCAGGACAAAAGGACGACAAGTGTGGCGGACACTGGAATGAACCATTTCACCTGGAGAAGGAGGGGGAGGCGGTGTCTGGGGTCCTACTTCATCACTGTACTGCAGTGAACCCTTACACTCTGTGCATCGCAGCCCGAGAGCAGGTATGATTTTTAGCAGCTGTAAGAAGGTTTTTGTGCTAACTAGGCGTACAAGTATTTCCCTGGGAATGAACTCTGGACTTTTAACAATAGTCTCTGTTGTTTGGAAATGTAATCTGTTGGTATTAATGAGTATTAATCTTTAGATTTGCCAACAAGAGTGTGTTTGTGTGCACGTTACCAGTCTGACAGGGAGATCAGCCACCAGACAGCGTTCAGTCCAAAGGGACCCTGCTTCAGTCTGTGGAACGACCTCATCGATGATGGACGGCTGGACTCTCCTACAGGTCAACACTTAGAAAAATATACTGTGCAGAGAGGAGACGGATGTCTAAAAAGTAGAATGAAACAAGATTAATGCTAAATAAATCCCCACTGTGGCATTAAAATTAGTAGAAGAGAACGCAAAATGTTTTATAGATTTTAGTGTAACCATATTTAAAGTAGCTTAAAAAGATGTGGAATGAAAGAAAACAGTAGTGTGTGAATCAAATTTTATTTGATTATAGTTATTTATTAAATTGTGAGTCATCTTTGCAGGCATACTTGCCAACCTTGAGACCTCAGAATTAGGGAGACATTCAAAAAAGAGGGGGAGGGGCATACATATGCATATGCATACACATATACAAATTTTTTTTAAAGTAAGTTAAATGTCACCGTTATTAGCCTACTGTCCCCCAGCTGGGGCTGTCCAAATTCAGAGGCTGCATCCACCTGTGGACCCGGCCTTTGTGGTCTAAGTGGGCCGGGTCCTCCGAAAGCCGGGTAGGCCAGTAGTGAGTGACTGTGACGATCTCGCCTTTAGAATTACGTCATGAGCTCTCTCGGTGGAGTGAAACTCTGCTGTCTGCTCCTTGCTATCTAAATATAACCGGACGCTGGCGTAAATTCTCGACCATCTTACACTTCTGTTTAATCAGTTTTCTGTTTGACGTTTATTCAGCTGTTTGAAAACCCGGAGGAACCCTCCCGAGGGATTAATAAAGATTTATTTAATCTAATCTAATAACTTTAATCTCAGCCAAACCGATTTACTCAGGAACAAATAAGAGTAATATTAAAACTAAGTAGCTTCCGCCATTGTTGGAAACTGGAATTGGCTGGGATGAATGAATGAATGAATTCTGGGATACGGTTTTTCATTTTTTTCATTTTTATTGTCCGGGTGGAAAATCAGGAGAAATTTGGGAGAACGGTGGCTCTAGGAGATTTTCGGGAGGGGTACTGAAATTCGTGATTCTCCCGGAAAAATCGGGAGGGTTGGCATGTATGGTCGCAGGACAAATGGTCTTCTAAAACCACATCCCAGTCCTCCAAGTACAACCCTGGATTAGTTTCATATCTTTTCTCACACTTGCTGTCATTTCTTTACTTTTTTCTCTTTAAAAAAACACAAAATTACTTTAAGACACTAAAAAAAAATTATATTATTTTATTTTCATTCTCTCTAAAGTCATCTCTGAAATATTAGAGTTTACAACAAGTCAGTAACCTCTTGTCTGTCTTCCCTCTGCAGGATCCAGTCCACCAACAGTTAAAGGAGAAAAGGTAGCTGCGGCAGTAGCTGTGGGCTGCTCTGTGCCAGCTCAGGGCCATAACTCACTGGAGTTCTGCTTGGCCTGGGACATGCCCAAAATTACCTTTGGGTCTCGGGAGAAGGAGCACATGAGGTAGCTCGAACACAAAAAGGAAATACACAGACAGTATGTTGCTTTTATAAAAGACAAAAATGTCACCAAAATGTGCTGGAAGGCTTAATACTGCATTTTTCAACTATGGGCTACTTTGTAAAGGAGCACTTTATCTTTTTAGCGTGTTTCCTGTGTTGTGAGTCTTTGCTGTTGCTAAATGTAAAACAGCTTGTTTGAATTTTGCTTATTTATTATAACTACAGCAAAAAAGCATCTCTGAAGGTGATGGGCAACAAAATATACATTCATATATATTAGAGCAGGGCGATATGACCAAAAATATTTATCACGATATACATTTGAAAATTTGCAATAACAATATAACTGACGATATAATTGACACTAGACAAGATACTTTACAACTCCACAACTTTTATTTGTGCAAAAAAAAAAAAAAAAATCAACGTATTTTCACTTAAACAAGCAGCTGTTTTTTATGTGCATTAAAGTTATATAAAAATTTAAAAATGCAAATTCCTTACTGACAGTTTAACCAAAAGGCATTTCCAGTGGGAATTGGCCAACATGTCCTCAGCATAACCATGTATAATATCCACAAAACTTAAAAAGAGGTTATACACACACAATACGGTAATATTATGTTGAAGCACAGTACGTATCACTCTGCAAGGCTCCTGCCCACGATGGCCGTAACGCTCCGACAATCCATCAAGCGGTGCGGGTTCGTAGCTTAGCAAAGTCGTACTGAAACATTTGACAGATTTTCGAGCGCCGTGTACATAAAATCGTTTCGAGGTCATTAAACACAACCAGAGTTCATACATAAAGCACACGGGATTATAAGGTAAGAGGAACTATCGATTTTCAGAGAAATCAAAGGATTGATTTAAAGTGTGCCGTATTTTCCAAAAAACACGGTAATAACGACGGCCCGCTAGCATGCTCTACCAAAAATAGTGCTTTGTTGTGTATCTGATGGACGAAAGCTAAACCAGTTCCACACCACTGAAGTTGCAGCATTTTTACAAACCAATTCTGGTTCATCCGTTTCATTTAACGATCCGCTTTCGCTCTTCTCATTCTGCGTCGCCGCCATGTGCGTATGAAAACAAAGGCACTGTGTATGTGCGTTCTACCCATATTCTATCGCCATATTTCATTTTCTTATCGTTGCCCAACATTATACCGGTATTACCGTGAACGGTATGATATGGCCCAGCCCTAATAAACACACACACACACACACACACACACACACACACACACACACACACTGATTGTCTTGATGAGTGTGTAGAATTTTGAAACTTGGGTTTTTTAAAAAATAATTTATTGTTTGCAGGAGATACACTCGTTACTTTGGGACCAAAGGAGATGCATCCCCCTCACTCAGCCATTATGCTCTAACACACTACAAGCAGTGGGAGAAAAGCATTGAGGAGTGGCAGAGACCCATACTGCAGGACAGGTGCTTTATTACCCGTTATTGCACTGTGGACAGATACAGTTTAATGGCAGAGTTTGCTTCTTGTAGTATAGTTTGAAAGCCATTTGTGGTGTTTTAATTAGCTTCATTGAATTTATTGAGTACAATTTCTTCCTTATTGGGCTCTTTGTTTTGTCATAGTGTATTTTATTTTGTTGAGCTCTATATTTAACTAGCTTTATCTAAAATTAGTTTTTATAGCACTGAAAGCTTTGCAGGTCAGAAACATCTACAGCTAATATTAAATAAATGTGGTATATTAGTTCAGAACCTCAGTAGCTAAGCACTTTTTTACTTTCTATGTCTCTCATGCGCTGCAGTTCTCTACCTTCCTGGTATAAGTCAGCACTGTTTAACGAGTTATACTTTGTGGCGGATGGTGGGACCGTGTGGACGGAGATAATGGAGGATGTTGACATCAGTGGCGGCATACGTAGCGAGGACGGAGGTCTGCCAGCTCAACCCACTGTCATCAAGGAGTATGGACGTTTCGCTTACCTAGAAGGTAGGCAAGAAAAGGGGTGCAGGGAAGTTATGAAAAATGAAACTCATATCCTTCAACTGTGACATGTAGATGGTAACAATTAATTAAGTGCATACTAACATAAAAGTGTTACAGTTTAGCATTTGTTTTTTTGTTAAACAAAACATTTCCAGTTTTATGTTACTCTCATAGTCTGGGCCATTTT